GGTGATCGTCCGGAGCCAGCTGGGGGCCTGCCTGATGCCCCCATCTCCCCGACAGTATCCCAACAACAGGCTTATGGGCCCAGATCCATGGCAGGCTTGCCTCCTGGGCAGGGAGGGAGGGAGCCGTGCCACTTTGCCGGCAGCCTTCCTCGCTTCCCTCTTCCTTTTAACAACTTGAGGGAGGCTCCTCCCCCCCCCGGAAGCTGCACGGGAGTGGGGGGCAACGGCACACCACACGCCTGCGACTCCCAAGCCTCCCCCGAGCTGTGAAAATGAAGGGGGAAAGCTGCATCTCTGCCCCTTCCTCCGCCCCTGCACCCATAGGGCGGAACACCCAAGATTTGGCAGGCATCCTTCATTTTCACTTTCAGACCCTTTTGTGTGCGAGACCATTCCTTCCATTTGTGGTTGCCGCCATGCACGTCTTGCACGCACAGGGGGGAGCAGCTGACTGCAGTTCTAGTTTTAAGTGTAATCTGGAATTAGCAAACTAATCAGCAGGGCAGCTAGGTGGGAAATGGGGCTGCTGTCCAACCCCTTTTCATAGAGAAACAACTAAAGGGGCAGCAGCCAGGACGGTGTCTTAAATAGCCACCCATTACCTTTGGGCTCCCTTACCCATCTTCCAAAGCAATTAAAACTTATTTTCACCAATCAGGTTTAGGTTCTTTGCTAATAGAAACAAGCAAGCTCTGCACTGGCCAACGAGGAATGTATGCACACACAAAAGAACATTTTACTAGTTTTCTTGAAACTTTCTTGGCTTCCCTTACAATTTCTCAGACGTTTCACCTAAAAAGATGATGCTCAAATTTGCCTTGACATTTCACTTCAGGGAAAACGCAATAGCAACTTAAGAAAGTGCCACTGTTAATCATGTAATTATCAGTTTCTTTTCTTTCTGCATTTCATTTCCCCTCTGATGCCATAATGGATGTGTTAATTCTTAAGGTGCTTTGTGAAAGCCGTGTGACTCCTCACCTGGGAAACTGCATGAGCTGAACCAAAACAGGCAAACAAGTTAACTTCGCAGCCTTGTTACTCAGACCCCTCTGCTTCCACAGTAACCCTAAAGGGGGCTGTGAAGAAGACAGGCAAAGTTCACCTGCCGCCTGCCAGAACCACTGCCCTCTGTGGCATGAACTTTATTGGCTTTCAGCTCTATGCTATCCTGCAGCACTGCCCTGAAAGACGCAGAAAGAGTTGCCCAACCAGTTGCCTGGGCAACTTGGGACACCACCTGTTGAGGATGAAACACAGCGCCAGAAGAAAGGGAGGCATCTTGACATAGCCTAGGCAATCAGGCCAGAAAATTATAGCCACTTCCATTATTACACAATTTCTTCATACTTCAGAAGAGAACTAAAACATAATACACACAATATGTGTCAATTATTCTTAAATTGGGCTAAGCCAGTCAAAATTACCCTATGTAATTGACAGAGCATTTCTTATTTGTTCAATCACGGGCTCAGAATGTCTCTCAGCAAGGCAAATTTAGTGGAGGACTGAAGATAAGCAATTAGTTTGACTAGCAGCAAAGCACCCCTTGCAGCTTTTCCTTGCAAGGAGCAGCAGAGGATTTCCAGGGGCTTATATAAAACAAGATTGGCATGGCATGGCAAGGAAGCTGCCATTGGTCTCTCTCTCTCTCATTGCTTTGAGTCCCCAGTCTGGCACCCACTAGAGCACCTGTGCCCACAGTGCCCCCACCTCCTCAAAATTAGGCTCAGACCCACTTCACTTGCCCCTTCACAACTGACTCTCGCATCAGCTGATGCCATCTCTGTGGGTCTACGCGACATTAAGAGACCAACTCCCAGCACTGGCACAATATGGGGGTGATAACAGGTTCTTCTTATCTTTCCTCCCCGAAGTCCTGGGATTAGGTCTTCTCCTCCCACACTAGGACCTCAGGGCTCTCAGCCATTCCATTTTATATCCTCCTGTGATCTGCTTCCATAGCTTATAGACTGTGGCTTACACACTGATGAAGCAGGGCCCTCCAGCTAGCAGGCACACCCATCTTCCGCTCACCAGCTGGTGAGTTCTTCCATTCTGCTCAGTTTGACTGCACATGCACGTTACCCTGCTGGGAACAGGAACATGCAATCCAAGTGTAGTGCAGGGCTGGTTCAAAACGGCATCAAACCATTTCTGAATATAAACCAGAAGCATCTTCCTGCTCTCACTCCCAATTGGGCAGCTATATCTTCAGAGACATCCAAATCTGTGCTGTGTGTAATAGTTTGGTCCTCTTTTTGGACTCGAAAGGGTGTCCGAAAGTATCCAAACAAGCCAAAACCCACACTTTGATCGTGGGAAGTGCCACACTAAATTGGTCTACAATATCTCACAAGGCTTCTGAGTTGATGCAATTTGGAATGCCGCAGCCTATCTTCTTAATTCAAAATGGTGTCCAGACAGAAATAAAAACTGGCTCCTCCACCAAAGGAACCATCACTCCAAATTCAGCAATGTTATATCAGCAGGCATCTAAATGCCCAAAAACAGGTAGACGAATCACTTCCCCATACATATAATAGACTATTAACTTGAATAGAGAAACTAAGTTCAGCTATTTTCTGGGATTGCTTTAATGATCTTCAAACTGTTCAAACTTAAGTTTTTTTTCTTCTAAGAACACCTTCATAAAAATGGTTTAAATTGCTGCCTTACCCAAAAAATAAAAACAAAACCCTTTAATAAAAACTAAATTTGCTTTGGGACACGGGTGGCGCTGTGGGTTAAACCACAGAGCCTAGGACTTGCCGATCAGAAGGTCAGTGGTTCGAATCCCCATGACGGGGTGAGCTCCCGTTGCTCGGTCCCTGCTCCTGCCAACCTAGCAGTTCGAAAGCACGTCAAAGTGCAAGTAGATAAGTAGGTACCGCTCTGGCGGGAAGGTAAACGGTGTTTCCGTGTGCTGTTCTGGTTTGCCAGAAGCAGCTTAGTCATGCTGGCCACATGACCCGGCTGTACGCCAGCTCCCTCGGCCAGTAAAGCAAGATGAGTGCCGCAACCCCAGAGTTGGCCACGACTGGACCTAATGGTCAGGGGTCCCTTTACCTTTACTAAATTTGCTTTGGCTTATCTTTGAGACCTTGTTATTCCTGTCCCATTTAATTGCCTTCCCACACTACCCCATCAAAGAGTTAGCTGAGCCTGTAAAATATATTCTAGAGGTTAAATAGCTGCTTGTGGAAGTAGGTAGGATATAAAGCCACCTGGTGACAGAGATGAGAGCCAAACAAGGAGGAGTTGGGTTAGCTGTTTTGCACCCCTCCAATTTTTCTCTCAGAACAGGCCAGAACTCCTGCTGCCACATCACTGCCTGATTTTCCTCTTAACAACTGCTGGAGTCCCTTGAAGGTGCTCTGCTGTGAGGTCAGTGGCTGTAAAATAAAACACTATGCTGTAATATAAATGTCAGGGAACATAATTCCCCTGCACACAAACATTTTATCTGTGATTTACTTATTTAGCTTGTTTTCTGCATTTTAGCGAAAGCTCGGCTCCATCAATATCATTCTGTACATATTTATATTTATTTCAGAGTTTTGTTTCTGTCAAGAAGCTATAATAGAACTTGAAATACCAGCCTTTAAATTAAATTTGTGAAACAGAAACAGGATTTTATTTGGTCCTAGACCTAATTTGTGAGGTAATTTAAGGAAGTCTGTTTTCTCTTGATTCATTTATGGCCAATGAAGTGATATGATTTATGCTGGGTCATACTGTATTGCCAAATTGTTGTTGGGTAAATTTTGTTGGCTTTATTGTTAACTGTTCAATTTGGTGTGTTTGATGTTATTATTTTATGCTGACTGTATTTTTTTTAAATCAGGAGGCTAATACATGAAAAGAATAAATAAATGTCCAGTAGATTACTGTATGTTGTGGCACAGTTTGTGCCTAATGTTGCATTTAGAGGCTGGCGTCAAGAATCTGCAACATTTCTGAAAAGAACTGGGTGTTTGTCTATATATGATGAGTTGTTTTTACCAGTTAAAACAATAATCATTTGCAATACCTTCCAGAACTGTATGAAACTAGAACTGTATAAAACTAGAACACAACTGGTACAGTATATTCTGTAAGGATCTATTACAAAATACCTTGGGTCATTCTATTTTGCCTAGCATTTTACATTTGAGTCCAATTCAGTACCACTCCCAGGTCTGAAACACTGGAAGGAATGGTCCAATGAATTTTATAATGAACCCATACAAAATTTATTATGGCAGCCAATAAATTGAATCTATCCTGATAGATTATTTCAGACACAGGATTTGATTGCACCGAAGTAGCAGTTGTCAAATAAATGTAAAATGTGCATTTGTTTTGCTTGCTCATTGATGGATATTCCATTCACTTAATGATAAAACAAATACTTCTGGGTTTTCTACAATAACCGTAGATATGAGAAAAAAATGTTTTTAAAGTTAAAACTGAATCAGACTAAGCACTGATATCGGAAGAATTCCCCTGATCTCTGTAATATGATCTCCATGTTCATTTAAATGAAATATGTGAGAACACTGAGTCAAACACTCTAAATTGATATTCGTGATGCATTGTCATGAAAGTTTTAGGTCCTAAAACTTACCATTCTAAGATCCTATTGTATTGTACAGGTAATTAATTCAGCCTGTGAGCTGGTCAATTACAGAACAAAATTTCCCACAATGGAATTTTATCCGAGCCAAGTTCATATCATTAGTCTGACTAATCATCAGCAATGTGGGTTAAATCATATGTAATTGAACCACGATTCTCTTAGCTGTTGTTTCATTGCCTTTGAATGGCAAAATTGAACCTTCTGTTTCTCCTTGCTAACTGCTGTCCTTTAGTACTCAGCATTTTCTTCTTTGCTTAATAGCATCTTGCACTCTTGAAAACTTCATACTCTCCTGACAAATAGCTCTACTATGGCATTAACTACAGCATAAGTCAGTGTAGACAAAAATCTACATGAAAAGGAAACCACATTCTAGTAATTTTGCAAGAGATTTTTAAATTTATTTTAGAAGATGGCAATGCAACACCTTTGGAGCAAAAAAAAGGTGTAAATCAAGAAAATTTACTTCTGTCTGCAAGTCGGGGTAACTGAAGATATCGGAGACAGATTCTTTCATCCTGGGAATAAAAATATAGATGAAGTTTACTCTTCTCTGGAACAGAATTTCACTTTAAAATACACTCTACTTGATTCTCTAGAGAAGGTCTCAATCTACTTTTAAATGTGTATATTTTAAAATGTACTCACAGGGGACTTCCACTATCAAAGTTTCTTACAAAAACAGAGATGCTTCTCAGAGGAGTTTTTCATTTTTGTTTTAAGGGGGGGGGATACCCAACCCTTCAATTATGCCTTTAAAATCAAATGGTGTCAGATTTCTGGGGACTAATTTAAATCCTTCACAGAATAACCAGATTACACAACATTAATGACAGATAGCTTTTGTTAAACCGGAATAGGAACCGGAAACTTAAACTTGTATAACATTTGTATATAACAAATTGATATTATTGTGTTGAATATATACTCCCAGCTGTTTAGAATCAATGATGAAACAGGAAGTTAATCTGTGCTGAGGCTTAGTTTTCTTTACAGTTCCAGTGAACTGCTTAGAAGGCCAGAGTTTATTTGGATGGCATTCTTCAGTGAAAAAGGGACATCAACATCATTTAGGAGACAGGATGGGAGTACAGAATAGGTTCTCCATTTTGGTCATATCTGAAATGATGACATGGACAATGTTACAGTCCTGTCTGGTCTGGTGAAAGAAGTCTCTTCTTCACTACCATAATTAAACCTTACAACTGCACCGAGTTTTATTCAGTATGAAGGAGTAGTAGTAGTTATTTCTGCTCCCTTATTTACTGCCTTACACACACACACACACACACACACACACACACACACAGGTTCTCTTAGGAACTTGTTAGGAGACTGCATAACCCCAGAAAACTGGTGCTACTATTGCAAAAGCAATACAGAACTCTGTTTGAACTAAAAAGATACCGCCCATATTCAGATAGCAGCCAAACTTCTTTTTCTGGATAACGCGGCTGAGTATTTAGTGCAGGGATGGGGACCCTCTGGTAACTCCAGATGTTGACAGACCTCAACTTCCGTCACCCAAACCAGCAAGACCAATGTCCGTAGATGATGGGAGTTATAATCCTACAACATTGGGAAGGCTACAGGTTTCCCATCCTAATGTGATAAGAGAGCAATGCCAAACATTCAAGGATGATCCATCTGGTTAGAAGTCTAGTTAATAAGCACCATTCACTGTCTTATCTTTATGGAAGTTCAAGACAGCAGTGACTAGAAGCTTGACCATTAGGGTCATGACCCCAATGGAACCTCCTTCTGAAGGAGGTTAAGAAACTGATTCTATACTCAGGGTTAGATCTAACCTGTCCCAGTGAAATCAATGTGAAAAACTAGTAATGACTTGGATTTCAATTGGATCTAAGTGCAACTGATTTAATTCAATTGGATCTAAGTTCAGCTAATTCTCAGTGGCCTGAGATTCCCAGAAGGGGTTGCAAGACATTTTTTTAAAAGCAGGTGTTATCAGCTGATATGATTCTCTTTCCCTTTCCATTACGTACTGTGACCATTTACAGTTCATTTCATCTTTTTAAAAATTTCCTCTTTATCATTGTATTTGAGCAATCTTACAAAACTGGCAAATTCTCCTTTCTCAAGATCAAGCAAGATGTGATTGGGGCAGTCATGCTTGATATTTAAGTATTTATTGTATGTTTTTATAAGGCATCTCATAATAAGGTCTCTAGATATCATACCAAACACACACAATTTTGTTGTTGGCATCAGTCTGTCTCAGAGACAATGGAGTGCACCTCTGGGGGTGAAGTCAGACCACTGCATTAGCAGACCAAACTGACCTCCTTGGGGCGCAAGCCTGGGCAGTGTGTGTGGAGGTCCTGGGCTGCTCACACACAAATAACCATCTCAATGAAAACAAACTTGAATAAAAAGCTGCAAGAAACAAGCGAGCCAAAAGCCCCAAACACCAAACTAGCATAATAAAATACCACATGCAGCACAGAAATGAAAACAGCTACAAAACAGACTTAAAACACGATCTTAAAAAGGCATGGGGAAACAAAAATGCTAGACTTAGCTTGGTACTGAGAAGACAACAATGCAGGCAACCAGACAAACGTCCCTAGGGAGAACATTCCTAGCTCGGAGACCACCACCAAAAAAGACCCTCTCATGATAAACTGCTGAGCTACAGACAGGCATGTAGTGAAGGACTTCAATAGATAACCTTAAGCCAGTGTTAGCCAACATGGTTCCGTCCAAATATTGCTGAACTGCTGATCATGCTGGCTGGGGTTTATGGAAATTTGAGTACATCTTCTGGTGGGCACCAGGTTGACTAACCCTATCTTAAGGCATAAAGGAAAAAGCATTCCATTAGGTTCTGAATGGTGCTGGAGGTGACTCTTGAGAGTCCGCTGGACTGCAAGAAGATCAAACCGATCCATTCTGAAGGAAATCAGCCCTGAGTGCTCACTGGAAGGACAGATTGTGAAGCTGAGGCTCCAATACTTTGGCCACCTCATGAGAAGAGAAGACTCCCTAGAAAAGACCCTGATGTTGGGAAAGATGGAGGGCACAAGGAGAAGGGGACGACAGAGGACGAGATGGTTGGATAGTGTTCTCAAAGCTACCAGCATGAGTTTGACCAAACTGCGGGAGGCAGTGGAAGACAGAAGTGCCTAGCGTGCTCTGGTCCATGGGGTCATGAAGAGTCGGACACGACTAAACGACTAAACAACAACAACAAGGTTCTGAATTCCCAAGCTATGTAGGTCTGTATAGGTCAGAAGCAGCATCTTGAATTGGGCTCAGAAACAGATTAGAAACAAACACCGGTGAGAAAGGGCTGAGTCCAAAGTATAATGTTCTTTTTTCCTACCCTTGCTCTGACCGTGGAAGTGGTGTAGACTGGGAGTAAATTGACTGAAGCAAATGAGCATGGGGTGTTAATGGGGCTGCCATATCTGGAATTTTCCAGATATATCCAGGATTTGTCTGTTGGAAATAGTGTCTGGGTGGAATTTCAGAAAATAGGTGAAAATGGCCAGGAAAACCCAGCCAAATGGCAACCCATATCAGAAGTGGGCTTTTTGTGTGTGTGTGAATTCCCTTAAAAAAAAAAAAGCTCACAAACTTAAACAACTTTTTTGTCCGGATTTTCATGTTGTGAAATATGGCAACCCTAAGTAAAGGGAGGCTTCAATTCCCCATGTGCCCACCTCTTTGGATATGAACTGTATATTAGCCCCATCTTATCAGTGAACAGGGAAGATTCAAAATTACAAAAAGGTGTTGGCCCCACCAGTTAGTTTGGCCCTTAGTTTTCCCTAGAGTTAGAACCTGTTTAGGATGCAGTTATTCAACAGCGATGAACAGGAAGCAAGAGAATAACATATTAAATACTGCTGAAATTGTGACGCACACTTCCTTAAGTTATTAAATTCATAGAGCAGTTGGAACCATTGAAAGCATGTTTTGTGAAACAATACCAGCATTGCAAATCTTTCTTGGCAAATTCCACACCTCTGAAATAATACTATTTCTTGTGTAGCCACGTGTGTGGGTGAGAGAGATATATCCCAGGAAAGAGAGGGGGGAACCCAACAAAAGAGTGTTTTATAAAGCAGCCCCGTGTTCTTTGGTAAATTATACTAGCTAGCCATGGTATCACACATTTAGGCATAACAGTGGTTCGGGGAGGCAAAATAGATATGGAAAACCTGAAAACATGTGCATAGCCTAGAGAAAAAGAGATTAATAGGGACATGCTCTGAAATATTTTCAAAGCTGCTAGAATGAAAAAGGAGAGCAATTGCTCAGAGTCATTTAGATTGGGAAAAGCAGAACCATGACAGAGAGCTATAACACCATAAATCTGAGTACTTACAACCACTATAGAAGTAGTACTATTTTATTTTTTAAAAGATTAGGCTAAATATCTTGATTAACCCATATTCTATAGAAGACCACCTGGATTTTTGCAAAAAGAACTCAACTATTGAACGTGAGTTAGCTTGGAAGAAAAGTGAGACGGGTTAATTTGAATACTTTGTTTTCTGACAACACCAGAATTTCCAGATCAGAAAGACACAACCAAGGAGGGGCAGATCTATCAATGCTGGTTCTTGTTGGGATTTCATTCCTCCCGTTGCAGGATGTGTGATTGTTTTCATCACATGTCTGTGTTGACATTCCATACTGTTGGAGTCATGTGAACGGAAGTTCAGTTACACTGTTCCGTTATGTCGTACTTTTGCTTTTCTTCTCTCTTGGAGATGAAGAAGGAGAGAGGAGCCATGATTTCCTTTGTTCTGTTTTGTACATAATAAAGTAGCTTAAAAATCCACACCTCCAATGCCTAGCTTCTGCTTGGACTCTGCTTTTGTATTGTGTGCACATATCTTTGGATGTGTGTCGCAGAAGCATGTCAGAAAAGAAGAGTGATGGATCTTCCCGAGGGTCACTTGTGGGGGAGAACGCTCCTGCCTGACGTTCTCTAGTTGGTGCAAGAAGCCCAGTGAGGTCTCTCTCTGTGTACCCAGGCACAACAGTTCTCTCAATTTCTCATTTTCCAATCTTAAATTCAATTTGCTACATTTTCAAGTCAGTTTTTTAAAATTATTTTTTAAGTACTCATGAAAATTCATCAGCATTTTGGGTGGAATTTTTCTTGGGATGCACATTATTATGAGCAATTTTATTTGTCTGTGGCAAAACAGCAATGGGAACAGTACATCATTGTTTACGTAATTTTGGCTGATATGCACACTTTTGATAAAACATATTTCCCCTAATATTTAAGCTCTCCATATTATAATGCATTCTGTATGTCATTTCCCATGAATATATGCATTTTTATGTACACTTTACCTTATTATATGCATTTTTATAGACATAACTTGGCTGAAGAACTGCATTGCAAAATTCAGGAAATATTTTTGGAGAATGATTGTTTCAGTCTGTGTATTATTTTGAAAAGTGTGAACTAGTTGAATCTGCCTTTAAATTCAAACTGAATCAAATTTCTCTCCTATCTCTAGCAGTGACCTAACCATTCTGAAACCTCAACCATTTTGAAATGAATTAATGTGCTGCTGACATAACTTTTAACGTTTTGCATGTATATTCTTTTGCAGAAAACAGCAGGAAGATAGCATGCATTTTCATAAATTAAGGACAGCAAAGATTATCTCACATACAGTGTTTTTAGATATAGCTCGGAGAAAGGGTTTCAACATGATGTACCTTTTAGCTTTGCGAAATGCAACTGAACTGCTGATGCTTAAGGAAGGTTAACTTGAGAATCGGCGGTAATAAAATTATATGATATAAGTGTGTCAAAGAGCCAAGATGTAGCAAAAAGATTTTTTGTGAGAGTTGGAAGGGCCAAAGGCCAATGTAAGAAAAAAGAATTTATGTAGCATTCCAAGAATAAAAACTGCTTGAATGAGAGAGGTTACCAGTTAGGACATTGGAAAAACTTGCCAATTTCAACTAATTAGTAGCAAAGTTAGCACCAGAAATTATCTGGCAAGATTATTTTTCCAAGCCAAACTGAGAAGTAGAAAAAATTATCAAGCTATCTTTACCACCTCCGTCACCTACAAAAGCCATTCTGTGACACCACCAATCAAAACTCCATTATTCAAATGCCCTTGTATTTGTGTATTTTTAAAAATTCTTATCTGCTCCTGAGTTTTAAACCTTTATTTTAACACACAGTTAAGAAAAAGTTTTTAAAAGGTGAAGAGGTTCACAGGACCATGCCAAGGAACAGCAACAATGCCTCTGCTCAACAGGCTGTCAGGCAGGAAGGAGAGTCATGGTATTGGGCCTACTATCTCACCGGAGGTCCTCACTGGAGGTCAGGTAACTCTCTGGTTTTTTCCCACCCTGCCTGCCTCTATTTGCTGCCTATTGCTGCACCCCACTGGCAGCTGTGGATCACTCTGGGCCAGTCCAACCCAACTCACAGCAGTCTGTATGTAAGGTAAAAGGTAAAGGTAAAGGACCTCTGGATGGTTAAGTCCAGTCAAAGACGACTATGGGGTTGTGGTGCTCATCTCGCTTTCAGGCTGAGGGAGCCGGCGTTTGTCCACAGACAGCTTCCCGGGTCATGTGGCCAGCATGACTAAACCACTTCTGGGGCAACGGGACACTGTGACGGAAACTAGAGCACACAGAAATGCTGTTTACCTTCCCGCCACAGTGGTAGCTATTTATCTACTTGCACTGGCATGCTTTCAAACTGCTAGGTTGGCAGGAGCTGGGACAGAGCAACGGGAGCTCACACCATCATGGGCATTCAAACCACAGACTTTCTGATCAGCAAGCCCAAGAGGCTCAGTGGTTTAGACCACAGCATCACCCGCATCCCTCATACTGTAGGTGTATGACCCCGGCTCATCCAAATCCCCACAAAATATGCCTGATTTGGGTAAAGCCTCAGGCAAATCTGGTGCACAGCCCTAGCTAGTACCCTCAGAAACCAGAAATAACAGTTCCGACTTTTCTGGCGAAGAGTGTGAATCAGTCCACTTGCCACCAGTGGCTGTTAGCTCTCCTAAGAGTCCCTAATGGCAGTGGACACGGTCAGTGGCCATCCAGAAATAGCAGAGCGCCATCCCTTTAAATTCATTGCGACTTCACTTGAATGACAGGGCTCTTCCATTCATAAGGCCCTGCTTTGGTTACGATAGCTCAGATTGATATGTGCGTCTTCTCTGTCAGTTCTCCCAGGTCCTGCCACTGCCACCTGGAACAGCCTTTTTCACTTCTCGTGCTTAATCCTGCAAGATTTGCTTAGTGCCTTTTGGGATCACAGTCTGGGCAGAGCAGGAAATCTATAAGCAGAGCTAACCATTTAGGCGCTCCAGCAATTTCACACACTCCTTAATGAGACTGCTTTGCACTAAACCCTTCAAATAAGTGAATGCCTTCAGCCTGCGATGCACATTCACATTTAGATATTCACAGAACACCGTGTTCTACACGCTACGATCTGTGATGACCATTGCAAGAAGCTCTCCAACGCTTGATACATTCTCGATCTCTTTTGTTTACTCCTCGTGGATTTGTTTGCCATGTACATATCCATTCTGTGCAGCTTTGAGACTGTGCGTTCTTCAAAAGCTACAAGCTGCATGGAAAAACACTGCCTGTGCGTTTCACATATCCTCCCATTTAGGGAGCAGATTTTATCTCTCTAGCTAGCTCCTTCTGGCATGATTTGATTGGGCCAGATGGAAAATTACCTCAACTCAGAGATTTCAACACAATAAATCATATGAGCCTTCCTCTCTTCTAAGTAAAATGTGGGCAAAAGAAAGTTGCTCCCGATGACAAGAACTACTATGTAAACTTTACGAACTGGTGCCCGAGTTGACTCATTTTCTTCTTTCCTCCTCATCCTTCCCCCACCCCATCTTCATATCAGGTCTTCTAAATTCTAAGCCTGTGGGCAAGGACTGTCTTGTTTTTATTGATTTTTATGCAAGCAGCTCCAGGAGCTTTTTGAAATGTTTAAAATAAATAAAATCAGGCACACAACTTCCTCTGTTGCTTTGACTGGCCAGTGGTGATGGTATGTCAACAGTTTTCCTCCCTGGCCCAATTAAGATGCAAGGGAATGAGGTTTTGAATCGACGTGCACAACTGATTGTGCCTTCTCGATAAGAGAGTTCCCCTGTTGTATGATAGTTTTAGAGCACTGTCCATCGCACATTGCTTGGCAACCAGAAGATCCCAGGCCTGGAATCCCAAAAGATAACCTTAGATGCGGGGAAGTGGAGGTGGGGGTTGTCTTTGAACCTGGAAAGCTCCCATAAGCAAAGAGCCCTACACTGGATGGAGCAATTCCCTGATTCCATACAAGGAACCTTTATATATTCCAAATAAATCATATATGACTCCATATAAGGCAGCTTTCGATGTTCAGATTGTGCCAGGGTGTGTGAGTTCACTGATAAGCTGTCCATAAGTGACAAAGATCGGAAACCTAACAGTTGATGTGTGCAAACAAGGTGAATATGACTAATAAACTTTATTTGTACATTTATGAAAGCAGAACAGGGATGAGGTTGCCTGGTTTCTCCAATCCATAGCAGTCCCCAACCCATTCCGCACCATCCTCTACACTGTTCTGAAGGATCCCCCTGCCAACCGAAACAGATTTAGACCCAGTGGATCAAAGGCCATTCCAGAAATGGAAAGGCATAAAGGGAGTCCATCCATATGCTGCAATTCAGGATGCAATCATTTTTCACTAAATCACTTTTCCATGAGTTTTGCCTGAAAGCAAGATTTCATTTTAGTTTTGTTTCTGCTATTTAATTTTTGCATGCCCACCAGTCCCTTTGAAATTTAAATAAAATTATGCACACTTCTTTTTTTGGACTCTGAGTATATTACTGTTTTCCAGCTGTATTCTGGTTAAGTAACACTGAATCTAATCTGAAATGCAGTTGTGGATAAGATGAAGAGGGATTTATATTTTCTGTTTATAAGAGTGCAGAGGGATAAATAGCTCTCAAATTTCCACAATAAGACAACGCATCAAGGATATTTACATTCCCCATTACTGTATGTTATAGCTTCCAAGATCTGTGAAGAAACGTAATCAGTAATTCTTCCCCTTCAACAATCCCTTGGGTCCCCTTAAGCCTTCTCTGGAAGAGGTCAGAGACATGCCAGAAAAGTTCGCCAAAGGGTCTGATGATCTCTTGGCTAGAATTGCTCTTATTCTTTTCTCAACACCAGTCAGATTTCTATTCTCTTTGTTATTAGTTTTTATCTCTCTTTTGTTTGGTAGCCTTTATTTCTGTGGCACATGGGAGGCTGCCAAACTGGGTCTTTGACCAGGGTGAAATAAAGCCTAGTTTCACCCCTGGTTGAAGTTCATACTTATACAGCTAGCCTACCTGGCTCATCAGGTTTGCCAACTTTCATAGCCTTGCAGTAAACCACTTGCCAGGGCAAACTGTTATTACTCCAGGAGGAAAGATTCTCCATTATTTAAATGCCCTTATGGCACATTAGTTCATGTGCTCAAGCACAGTATTTTAGTGAGCAACTTGACTAGTGGCAATGTAACCACACGAAACATTGTTTACATTGCCAACTTCAGCTGAGATAGCCACATACCTTCAGATGGATTATGTATAGAACATGTAACACAATAGGGTCCTCTTCACACATTAGTTGCACATAGAGGGCAAGCCTATTGAAAGGACTCAGCCAGGGCTACACAGATAACCCCACTTTCAAAGTTGAATTTTTCATCCTGCTCCATCCATTGCCACTACTATCACATTGAGAGGAATACTGGCAGCAAGGAGTCTTCTCTATGGAGGTTACCTATGGAATTCAGAACCCTGATGAATAAAGCACCACACTGCAGATATTATTTTCAACACAAAAAGGGGCAGGAGGAATTCATATTGAAAGATGGGGCTAAGTACACATACATGAGGCCCCTTTAAACAGGCTTGGCCTCAAATTCCTCATGAATGTGAGACATTTTTTTTGCAAATTTAAGTTATGTGAAAAACCTCTAAAATAGAAAAATCAACTCCAAAATCTAGAATTCATCAACACACACACCCAAAGGGTTTTTTAAATAAATTTTATTACTTCCTCAGAGTTCAGTTCATAAAACAGATTAATGAGGTTTACTTTGACCTACTTCAACAGAACCAATATAGTCTCAGTACACCAGTGCAAATAGTTTGGAGACTGCACTGGTAATTTGACTGTCTGAGAGCAATTCCACAATAACATAGCAAACAAAACTACAGACAACGATGTCAGTGAAATTTGAGTTTCGGGTCAACTTTCATAAAGCACCTGTGGACTCTGTGCTTGGAGAATGTATAAAGTGTGCAATAGTGATAGCTAAAGAGGTGAATTTTCTCTATGAGACCTCATATTTGACTTCATCTAAAGTACTGTGTCCACCTCTGGAGGCTACGTTTTAAGAAGGCCATAGAGTCTGTATATTACAAAAAGAGGGTTCAGAAGAGGGCAGTGAAGATCATCCACAGTTTGGGAAAACAACTCTTCTGCGGAAAGTTTGGAGGAACTGAGTATGTTTATCCTGGAGAAGAAATGAATGAGGGGCAGGGGACATTGTAATTTTCTCCAAATACATGAAGGATTATGACACTGGGGAGAGCAAAGACTGACACAATGAGATCCAATGAGCTAAAGTTACAACAAGGTAGATTTTGATTGCATACCAGGAGAAACGTCTTGATCTTAAGAGCAGTTTGACAAATGAATGAATTACCTGATGTGGTTCTGGGTTTTGCACCACTGAATGTCTTCAAAGAAAGGCTGAAAAGCCATTCATTGGGTATGCTCTAGTTTAGATTTCCTAGTGTTGCCATATTTCCACCTACTGTGTGATACTGCAATTCTAACACTTACATCCACATCTAAAGTGATACCTACCACAAACACTTTCTGCAACCATTCAGTGGCATGGTTCACACAATAGGCTAAGCTAAGCCTGGGTTCAGTGCATGCTCTGGGAGACAAGCTTGCAGCCACTTCAGTCCTTATGGCTGCCATGCTAAACTAAGCCAAGGCAAAAGCAAACCTACAAAACCCTCAGTAAAATTGTGCTTTATTAGTTTTCCAGTTAAACTACACTGTAATATTGTTTCCTAAAACCTGCTAGAAGCATGGGTTAATTTAAAGAAAAGTACTATACAAATGGAAGCAAAATCACTCAACATATAATTTTCCACTTTTAAGAAAAGGAATGGGGAGCCATAAGTTCTTTTAATGGTTATTGGCTGCAGTTCAGTACAGGGTGGTTTTTTTAAAAAGTCATTATAAATAGCTTTGACGGCTTGTTTAAAAATCTAGATTAAACCAGGCAATATCAAAGTAACAGCATTACAGTACATTTGCTCCTTTGCACAGAACAAAGCTATTCTCTAAATAATAAAATACAATAAGCCTGCTTTTCTTAATTCAGTCTAGCGCTGCAAAGTAATTAACAGTTATATTTGTAGCTGCCCAGTTATATTTTTCAGAGGTTCCTGTTTTTAGTGCATCACACTTTCTATTGCATCGTTCTGAATCCTAGTTTGTTTGTTTTTTTAACAAACACAACATTCTATCATCTACCTATCTAGAAAAAGAAATAGGTAAAAGGGGGGAGGGGACCAATACTGGCTAGAGTCTGACTTGCATTCCTTTCATTGAGATGTGAAGGCCAAGGGGGTGAAGGGGAAAGGACATGGGTGTGTAATTTCCTCTAATTTTTCTTTTCTGGGCCCTCACATCTGTATCTTCCCATTGTATAACATTACTGTAGTACTCTACTTTTGTTTCAAAGAATGCAGATATCCATCATGATTCTTAAAAATAACTATTTTTTTTTATTCTGATCCTATAATAATTAAGCCCAAACATTACAGTATTAAATACTTTTTAAGTAGGTTTTTTTAAAGTAAAAATGGGGACTTAGCACATGCCCCACACATTGTTTAGAATGCACACACAGTCTTAATACCAGGAAACTTCATTTTTACATTCCAAAAATGTAAACTATAAAGGTAAAGGTAAAGGTAAAGGTAAAGGGACCCCTAACCATTAGGTCCAGTCGTGACTGACTCTGGGGTGGCGGCGCTCATCTAGCTTTATTGGCTGAGGGAGCCGGAGTACAGCTTCCGGGTCATGTGGCCAGCATGACTAAGCCACTTCTGGTGAAACAGAGCAGCACATGGAAACGCCGTTTACCTTCCTGCCACTACTTGCACTTTGACGTGCTTTCGAACTGCTAGGTTGGCAGGAGCAGGTACCGAGCAACAGGAGCTCACCCCGTCGCGGGGATTCGAACCGCCGACCTTCTGATCGGCAAGTCCTAGGCTGTGGTTTAACCCACAGCATCACCCACGTCCCTAATGTAAACTATAATATCAGACAAATACAGGAAGTAACCTAATTATTTGATCTTAAATTATTTTACATTTCCCAATGTGGCACAGTAGGTTCTGAATGATCCCAGTGCAATTGTCTTATTGTTCCAGCCTGCAGTCCCTCTCTTAAGGCTATATCCTAAAGGAGTGGGGAAAGAACATTGTGTGTGTGTGTGTGTGTGTGTGTGTGTGTGTGTGATTCTTTTTTCAACCATGTCAATCTGTGTCCCATGAAGCTCATTATGCTTGTCTACAAGTTTAACCACGTCTGGCTTTATCTACATTATGGAAGCTCTTTGGCTAAAATTGACAGCGGAGCGTGAAGGTCAGTAGATGATGGCCTTAAATGCAACCCATCTTCCAAAGATAGTATTTATACATGCTGTTTGATGGGAAAATGCATTAGTACCCCAAAATCAGAGTTTTGACATAGATAACATTTTGCACTTGAGTGACCTTTGTTATAAGAAAAATAGGAGACAGGATTCACTTCTGCCACCACGATACCCTTTTCCTTTTGCTCGTCCATTCCACACTTATGGAAAAAAAGGAAAGAATTACAATGTGGGGAAGTAGGCTTCACAAAGAGCAGGGTGTACACTTTCAGAACCTTGATCTACAAATTGGAGTGCTCAAGGACATTTCCATCAATTCATAGCATGCACTGATGGCCTTCATTCATTTATGCAGTGACACAGGGAGTGGTATACACCAGGGTATCAAAATGTCACCTAAAGCAGCATTAATGAGACGGATGCATCCTGCTGTACAGTGTCATTTCCATTGGCACTCTAGCAGCTAGCTACTTTATGCACGACACACTGTCTTCTATAATTGCTTATGTCACACAGTGACTGGAATGCCTTCAGTTTGTTCTGTCTCTGAATTGCCCCCACCTCCATATTTAGCCCCTTCTGCCATGGCCCCAATCTCCATCCAAATACATCTTAAGCATATCATCTTGTTTACTTATTCTGGAAACCCATCACCAATTCCAACAATCTGCTCCCAGCTACAACACACATATCAAAATAGACTAGTGCTGTTGTTGTCATCCGTGAGAATCTAGACACAGTTTGCGCGCTGAATGCTTTTGGACTTACATGCTTTCTTCACCCATTTTACTCTGAAGATCACATCTTATCATAGCTTTTCCCCATAAAGACTCACCCATGGCTTCTGTCATTTCCATTTCTCTGATTATTCTTCTCATCTCTGTTCACCTGGCTACCTCCCTTCCAGAATCACAAAATCAAGTGATCGCCATGTCGAAACAGCCATTACAGAGTATAGTTGCCTTCCTATAAGTTGCCCTCTGCAAGGTCCACTTCTATTCAAAAGACTTCCCAGACTATCTTAGGGGCATCACACAGCCTCTGCTTCAATATTCCCATCTCACTTGTCATTGTCAACTCCTCATCTCTGTCCCAGGCAAGTCTTCCTAATGTATATTATACAAAGCTCTGGGCTTTTCTGTGTCCTGCTTGGCTCCCAGCACACCGTTGGCACTAAATAAATATCAAACCACAGTAATAGTACTCAAAGTCAGAAAACTCCTACAGCATCAATTATTTCAGAGTGATAAGAATTTTCTGCTGTTAAACAGTACCCCCTCGGGACCTGTTCTGATATACCAGTGTAGGAATAAGTTTATCTAAGGCAAGGACAGGGAATCTGTGGTCCTCCAGATGTTGATGAACTCCAGCTACCATTATTCCCAGCCGACATAGTCAATGGTCAAAGATTATGGGAGCTGCAGCCATTCTTATCCCTGCTTTAAGTGTTCTTAATCAAGACAACCAACCACACACGTCAAAGTTCTCCCCGCATCCTGCAACAGCATGATGAGACAAACTGGCCTGCCCCCTACAGAACTTTGTCTTTTAAAATAAACTTTTGGGGACCGAATCCTCACAAGTTTTTATTACTGTATATTATGTGGTATAAAATACACATGGAGAAAATGGTTATGACTTACCGGGCCAAAAGTATTGCTGTCAAAGCTGTGTCCGCGATGATCACCCTCTACCCACATGTGGCCATGGGGAACCTTTACGTATTTCTTTTTGTAGCCTATGGTTCTAAAGAGAAATGCAAACGCGCAGTTAGTGGTGTAAAACAAAAACAAAAAACATTTCAGCCCCCAAAGCAAACAACCAATACGGATCGCTTTTCACAATATAACAAAATAGAAACTAAAGCATACAGATTAGTTCTGGCCCCACCCCAGGCTGGTTCATGCATATAACCCTGGTAACTTTTGGAACTGCTTACAATGCAATTGTGTGCATGCATAGAAGTAAAGGAGTGTGGTGGAGTCTCCTTCTTTGGAGGTCTTTGGAGGTCTTTAAGCAGAGGCTTGACAACCATATGTCAGGAGTGCTCTGATGGTGTTTCCTGCTTGGCAGGGGGTTGGACTCGATGGCCCTTGTGGTCTCTTCCAACTCTATGATTCTATGATTCTATGAAAGTCCTACTGAGAAGTAAAACCCTACTGTGTTTGGTGGGATTCCCTCACTAAAAAGTGTATTTAGGGTTAAAGCCTAAAATGTAGGGCTCTAGGAGTGGAATTCTTTTTTCACTGCTGAATATTTGCTCCAGATAGAGCTGAACTAAGATTTCTCAGAGGAAACTTCTGAGATTTTTCTTTCGCCTCTCACCTTCGATTTCCCACTTCCCAATTTTATCCAAATATAACACCCTGCCCCAGCAGCTACAATATGTGCCCCATAATGCATTATGGAGGATTATGAAGAATGCAAAATGGCAGATAGACTAGCAAGACATTTGCTGCTGCTGCCCTTCGCGTTACCAACAAAAAACTGAAAGCGACGAAGGAAGGAGTTGTTCTTCTCCCACAGGTAATAATGAGCCTCATCCCTGAGAAACTGTTGAAGCAATTTCTCCCCTCCCTGGAGAAATTCGGTGAAATAGTCCCCACAATGTCTTTGTTCACAGATAGAGCAGAACATTCCCAGAGTCCATTTGCAGACTGCAGGAAGCAGCCTTGAGCTCTGTGCCAGGATTCTATTTCTGTTTAGACTTCTGGGTTTCAGTAGTAACCTCAAAGGCAAAGCGAGATACGTCTGGGGAAAACTTCTTAGGAGAGAGCAAGTTACACAAGTAGTTCAAGAGGTGACGTTCTGCTGTGAGCTTGTTCTGAACCAAAGCCCTCACATGATATCAGGAAGCATTCTAGCGCTGCAGGGACTGATGTTCCAATGAGACAAATTCAAAACCATGATAATCACCCGAGACACATAAATTTTGTTCCTGGAATGATGTTATTTTTATCATTATTCTCCATTACACACCCTGTAGCATACTGCAGATGGGGGTGGGGAGGGCGGGGACAACATTGACCCCAATTCCCTGGGGGTTAGGACAAATGCAGCTGCTCTGAGACCCAATGTCATAGGCATGGAAATTTCCACTACACAAATAGTGTTACCCTGTATGGATAATGGCACACAGAACTTTGAATCATGTCCATATATCGCAATAACGGGTGGTTTTAATTAGTATTCGAAACTCCCATTGTTCTAGACGCATTTTGCGACAGGGAATTTCATGAGCAGTTTCTGAGCTCTGGATGCAGGACTGCGTCTAAAATTTCAGATTAAAACTGCAGAGTGGAAGGAAAGGAGGACCTTTTTCTGCCTCCCCACTTCCAGCTACTCTCTGAGACCCTCTTAAGGATAGTAGGGGGGTGGGCAGGGGAAGGACTAGATCATGGTGAGGCAAACTAAGGCCTGGGGGCCGGATCAGGCCCAATCGCCTTCTAAATCCGGCCTGCGGACAGTCCAGGAATCAGCATGTTTTTACATGAGTAGAATGTGTGCTTTTATTTAAAATGCATCTCTGGGTTATTTGTGGGACATTGGAATTCATTTATTTATTTTCTTCAAAATATAGTCCAGCCCCCCCACAAGGTGTGAGGGTCAATGGACCGGCCCCCTGCTGAAAAAAATTGCTGACCCCAGGACTAGATCCTGTGAAAAATGAACATAATATTTTAGCTGCAGTTCATTCATTTTCACACTTGGCAAATCCACACCGTGATCAACTCCCTCCCAGAAACCAATGTCCCCACTGTGGAAGGACGTGTGGGTCCAGAATTGGCCTCCACAGTCATTTACAGACTCATTGTTAAAACCGTGTCTATGGAAGACAATCTTACTCGGCTATGAGTGATCGCCAAAGAAGAAGATTCATTTTCAGTTTTGTATTCTTGTTATAAAAAAAATGTGTGCCTGGACATTCTGATGTTGTACCCATAACCTAGGTTTAAGGCGACAGTTAGGTCCTAGCTTTCATATCTCAGTTTCTAACACTGGTTTTAATGCGTAAGTGAAACAAAGTCACAATTTATGAACACAAAAGGCCTTCTAAAACTTTAAAACTGTCAATAAAGCAGGTATGGTTTTTTAAAAATAAAAATAAAATAAACAGTTAAGCTAAAAATGGATTAAAGCACATATCAGCTTCTGTCTCCTACCTTCCCATTTTCATTTCCCCTCCGATACTGCCTACCCTCATGCAGTTATGAGGTTCGAAAAGAGAATGATAAAGAGCCTACTGGCACACATATCATGAAAGGTGGGGAGATATTTGGGGCTTCACAGCTAGGGAGAGAAGGCACAAAGCTCCCTTTCCCATGTGCTGTGACCCCAATATTAATTTAAAAAAGAGACACAATGCACTACGTGTAACGTGAAGGTGGACCCTTAGACTTATTATAGGTCACTTCCATAGTTCAAAACAGCCCCAGTTAACTCACAGGAACAGCTCCATGGAACAGACACACCATAGAATTTCATGCTAGCTAGAAGGAGGTTCATACAAAATTAACACGTAGGTACTCCATTGCTCAATAGAAACATGCAGATTAAATACTCCAAAAAGACAAGCCTTCTTCTCTCCTTATAAGCACTCCACACACTCTAATTTCATGAATGCCAAAATTATGCTTGAATGTAAAGCCATATACTCCTAAATATTAATACATCTTTACTGGAAAAAAATACTACATAAGGAACAACCATATCTTGGCTTAATATGCCAAGATATGACTGAGCCTTTCCGTTTTCCCTTCATGGTTGTTGTTTGTCAGGGAACTGACATCGGAGCTAGAGGTGGAGGGAAGGCTCTCAAATGATGCTGGAGAAGGGCCCAGCAGGGAGAGAGGCAGCTCAGCAGATGGGGAAGCAAATCAGCGCAACACCAGGGATAAAGGGGGGCAGATGGGGGAATCGGCGAGAGGGCTCCAGGACTCTTCACCGGACACCAGCAGGGAGAGCACGGGTCCCCCGCTACCCACGCCCTCCCTGCGCAGAAGACTTCCACGCAGGGAGAGTAGGAGGAGACTTGGCGTCAAACAACTCTTATGTTGGAAAAGGTTTAAGAAACGCCCACTGACGGATTCTGCTAGCGACCGAGGCAGCCACGAAGTGAAGGGCTGTCCAGACAGAAAGGTTTAACAAGGCAACATAGCCAGGAGAGGCGGCAACTTACGCACGAGCAACCCATACTCATTACATTGTTGTTTAGTCGTTTAGTTGTGTTCAACTCTTCATGACCCCATAGACCACAGCACGCCAGGCACTCCTGTCTTCCACTGCTTACCACAGTTTGGTCAAACTCTTGTTGGTAGCTTCAAGAACACTGTCCAACAATCTCGTCCTCTGTCGTCCCCTTCTCCTTGTGCCCTCAATCTCTCCCAACACCAGGGTCTTTTCCAGGAAGTCTTCTCTTCTCATGAGGTGGCCAAAGTATTGGAGCCTCAGCTTCAGGATCTGTCCTTCCAGTGAGCATTCAGGCTGATTTCCTTAAGAATGGATAGGTTTGATCTTCTTGCAGTCCATGGGACTCTCAAGAGTCTCCTCCAGCACCATTCCAGCACCCTTCATGGTACACCCAAATAAAATGTGGAAGTATTCAATTAGCCATAGTCCTTATTTCGTCCAAATAAGGAAACCATGGTTACCAGCTTCAGAACAAGATGGGCTCTTAAACCAACATGGCTTGTTCTTAAACCAGCCTGGCTTTATTCCAGGTTTGAACAAAATAGGAAACAGTGGTTTGCAGGAAGCTTTGCTTTGCATTCAGGTGTGCAGGGAAGTGGCTGCCTGAACGGGCAACAAGGGTAATTTCATACATCATCTTATTCAGTTGAGTTTTGCTCAAACAAACAGAGCCAACTCAAACCACACCAAAACCACAAGCACACACAATGGAAACAAAACATCAAAACAAAGTAGGGGATCACAAGCCAATGGATCGATGCAAGGGACCTGGAGGTTGAGTACAATAATAAAAGATACCTTTTATCATATGTGGTGGGCTTGTAAGATAAAAATAGCTTTCTGGGAGATGATATATAATGAAATGGGAAAAAATGTTTAAAATAACTTTGGTTAAAAAATCAGAAGCTTTTTTATTAGGAATTACAGGTACAGACATTCCGAAGGAGCAGAAAAGACTTTTGTATGTATGGAGCAACAGCTGCATGGATGTTATTGGCCCATAGTTGGAAAGATGACAAAGTCCCAACCAGAGAAGAATGGCAAACCAAGTTGATGGACTATGCCAAGATGGCAAAGCTGACTGGAAAACTCAGAAACCAAGAGGATACAATTGGGGATGGGGGAAAATTATAAGTTATCCAGGAGACCACTGTGAGGAGATAGAAACAAGAGCAGGATTTTGACTCACTTGTAGTGTAAAAACCATGGATGATATGGTTTGATATAAAAACTGGAGTACGTATTAATATGCAGTTGTAGACATTTAAGATAAGACTCCATGGACGGGATTGGGGGAGGGGGTCGCAAGATTTGGGGAATCTTTACATACAGTATGATTTTATCGAAGTGTGTTTATTTGTATTTTTTATTTGTAAAATTAATAAAATGTATGTTGGGGGGGGGAGAGAACAATGGAGGAAGTGGGGAAATGTAGCACCAAAATCCCATAATGTTTCTCAAGCAAGCACTGCCAGGGTTAGCGAAAATCAGTGTGCTACTGGGTGGGTGGTGGGGTAGATACTAGAATACAGCTTGTGGAATGTGTGAAGAGCCAGTGCTATTTTTCTAGAAAAAGAGGCACCAGAACTCACTGTGAACTCTTCCCATGTTCTCTTATAATGACAATGACGCCCACCTGAGAGGTGCAGGAACTGAGTTCCAGCGAGTTCCGCCTGAAAAAGGCCCTGTGAAGATCCACATATCAGTGAATGCTGAAACAATTTGGTGGCAGACCAGTAGGACCATCAGGCACTAGCAGTGGCGTAGCGTGGGTTGTCAGCACCCAGGGCAAGGCAAGTAATTTGCGCCCCCTAACCCGTGGATTTTAGTAGGGGCAGAGAGCTGTGAGTGCGAGCGCCCCCCCAGATGTTGTGCCTGGTGCGGCCGCCCCCCCTGCACCCCCCACGCTACGCCACTGGGCACTAGAGGCCAAGATGTCAGAATCAAGACCTGCTATCATTGCTTTCATTTTTAATGACACACAGAACTATATTAAGCCTCAGCTATCAAAGAAATTGTGTAAGTTCGGAATTCTAACAGTGATACATTCCTATTTATAAATGTGACACACTGCTAAAGTCCCCTGAAGCTATACAGGTTGTAGTTATCAAAATATAATAGACACAATAACATATGTTTTCTTATTGTTATTCTGTTAAGAATTCTCAGAGGAAACTGGGTGATGGTGGGGAGTTGAATGCCTTCAAGCCGTTGTCCTTTTCTTTTTCAATATCAGTTTTAAAAAATGCTATGCGAGACCATTTTTTTGTCATGAAATATTCAGTCTCAGAGCAAAGAAGCTTCCCTTGTTTCCAGTCTGTCACATTAGGCATTGTACGAGTTATAAAATGGTCATTAGCATGATCAAAGCAAATATATTACTCAAAGCCTTTAACTAGGATTTTCTTGTTCTGTGCAGTCACTCCAGTATTTAAAGCTAGGCCTTTTCCTCTGTCACTGTCCTCACATACATTCTAATCTATGAGAGAAGGTGGGGATTCATTGATCCGAAGGCTTTACATTTATTCTCCACAAAGTGCAAATTAATCTGTAATTCACAGGGACTTGAAGTGCACGAACGATGTCTCCTTACGTGCTTTACATTCAGTAACAGAAGTTGGATCTGCAGCACAATGTTGCAGTGCAGAGCACTCCCGTTCAGTGTCCAAGCCAACCAGCCATGCCATCTTCCAAAATATTCTCTTCCCTTTTGTCAAGGATAATGGTTCAATATCCTGAAATGGGAATGTTCACTTATGTTAAATTACTGTATATTTTTAACATGGGGTTTTTCCTTTGGCAGTAGCCCTCATGCGATTGGCTGACTGAGTCACATGAGACAGACATTCCATTCTGTTGTGACTGTTATTCCAGTAACTGTCATTTTTAACTGTTTTCTGTTTTTCTCTGTGTATTTCTGAGCAATAATAGCTACTGAGAGAGGTTTCTCTGGATACTGCTAAGGACAGTTTTGTGTCACGTGTGATCTGTGTGAAGAGGAAGATCCCTAAACGTTAAGAGGAAGAAACCTGGGTAGGAGCTCTCCATAAGGAACAAAGTGAATAAGCGTTAGATTGTAAATATATTCTCCTCAGAAATGAAAGTAAAGTTCTTTTGAAAACAGTAGTACCTTGGTGTCAGGGAACTGACATCGGAGCGAGAGGCGAAGGGGAGGCTCCTAGATGATGCTGGTGAAGGACCCGGCAGCAGGGGGAGAAACAGCTCAGTAGAGGGGGAAGCAAATCAGCGCAACACCAGGGATAAAGGGGGGCAGATGGGGGAATCGGAGAGAGGGCTCCAGGACTCTTCACTGGACCTCAGTGAGGAGGGGACAGGTCCTCAGCTACCCACGCCCTCCCTGCGCAGAAGACTCCCGCGCAGTGAGAGGAGGAGGAGACTGGGTGTCAAACAACTTTTATGTTGGAAGAGGTTCAAGAAAAGCCCACTGACGGATTCTGCCAGCGACTGAGGCAGCCACGATGAGAAAGGGCTGTGCAGTCAGAAAGGTTTAACAAGGCTAATTAGCCTAGAGAGGCACCAGTTTACGCACGAGTAACTCATACTCATTACACTTGGTAGTCAAACAGCTTGGCTCCCAAACAAACTGGCTCCTGAACGCTGCAAACTCGGAAATGAATGTTCCGGTTTGCGAACATTTTTCGGAAGCCGAATATCCGACGTGGCTTCCGCGACTTCCAATTGAGTGCAGGAAGTTCCTGCAGCCAATCAGAAGCAGCGCCTTGGTTTTCAAATGGTTTCAGGAGTTGAACAGACTCCTGGAATGGATTGCGCTGCTTCGTACTCATTTAGTTGTTTTTGGATTTCCACACACTACCAGAAGTAGACTTTTTTCCTACTTCTGCAAACATTGGGTCTCCACTGAGCATGTTGATATCTCCCTTTTCTTTTTCAGTAAGCCTGTTTTGGCTACATTGTCATAGTTTGCTATTAACATATTTTTAGATTCATTTACCAATCCACAGAATGCTTTATGAAATGGAAGGTTATGTGGAAAGTGAGCCCTCTTTTTTCCACAGGACATTTAATATACCACATGCTAATCCACATTCCTATGCACACATCTCACCATTTGGGTAAACAAGAGGCACTGTCACAGATGAAGAACATGCCAAAGCAGCCACGGAGGGCATGGAACATGGCTGGTGAGAAGTGTGGCCTCAGCAGAGTTCAAAGACCCAGAGAATGAGACAGAAGAACAGAAACCTCTTTTGCAGAGGAAGAAATATTTCAAAAAACTGAACAACAACCAGAAAGAGACTTGGACACTGGGGTGATCAAAGCTTTGGGGGTTATGAGGCCAAAATTGCCTGAAGGAGTGCTGTCAGTTGAAAGGGCATGGCAAGCGTTCACAGAACTATGACTCACAAGTCTTTTTGTTTTCTCATTGCATACCTGATAAATCATTACAGTAGAAATGCAGGACCTGGGACTTGAATAAGTACCTGTTGCATTATCCTTAAGCACGCTGCATTGTACAGGGATTATTTATTGTATTGAATTAGCTTGCTTTCAGACATCTGCCAGAAACTTCAAACATTCAATTTGCTCTAATAGATATGTGCAAAAAGAAGAAAAAGAAAGAGGTCCTACAGAACTCCTTAAAAGCATGAATGCATTCTAAAATCTCCATTCTGTACATCAGCTTAATACTGTTGTTCAGATCATTACATCTGGTATAAGAAATTCTGTCTGCATCACATTTTATTGAGGGTGAGGAGGATGGCATTGGTTGCTTTAGATTTAAATTGATTAATTGTTTTGACTTATTTTACATCTTTAGAATTTAAATGTTGTATTTTATTGATCAGTTGTAATCCACCTAAAAGCTGGGCTAAAAATCCAAATTTCTGTATATGTGTATGTGCATATACAGGTGATATAAAATATAAAATGCCATTACTTTTTGTAGTTGTGAAATGGTTAGGGTTGTCATATTTTGAACAGCAAGAAAGAAGACACATTTGCCAACTTCTACTTTTAACTATACTTTTAACTAATATGGGGAACGCGGGTGGCGCTGTGGGTTAAACCACAGAGCCTAGGTTTTGCCGATCAGAAGGTTGGCGGTTTGAATCTCCCTTTTTTCGGTCCCTGCTCCTGCCGACACAGCAGTTCAAAGAACGAAGTACAAGTAGATAAATAGGTACCCCTCCAGCGGGAAGGTAAACGGCATTTCTGTGCGCTGCTCTGGTTCGCCAGAAGCGGCTTAGTCATGCTGGCCACATGGCTGTATGCCGGCTCCCTTGGCCAATAAAGCGAGATGAGCGCCGCAACCCCAGAGTCGTCCGCAAGTGGACCTAAGAGTCAGGGGTCCCTTTACCTTTACCTTACTTTTAACTATGGATCGCTATGACTATTCTCAATTTACATACATGTGAAAAAGAGGATGTGCCCTGGAAAAAGAGGACATATGGCAACCCTAGAGATGGTTTAAAAGATTTGCTTCGTGAGATGGAAAACACACTAATGACACCCCCCCCCAGCAATGTGTGAAAAGCATAATAATACACTAAATAACAGAGTATGCTGCTTTTTAGTAGTACTAAAGCTAGCAGCCTCACTTTGTCTAATGGTAATCTTGGCCCTGTTTCATCCCATAAAGTATGCTCATGTTGTGTGACCATACATGCACTCAAGTGCACACACAGTCACACACAGTATTAAAATGGTGCTCTCCTGTATAAGCACAGCCAGATTATACTAGAAGATATTAGAGTCCTGATTTGTTTGTAGCAAGAAATAAATAATAATAATAATAATGGAGATAATAAGCAGTTTTAGGAAGGGAGTTTGGGGGGAAATGGAAAAAGAAATTTTAAAAAATGGTTTTCAGTTATACCCTCTATTTATAAAACTGAATGAATGTACTTTCTATGACTAGAGTAAAAGAATACCAAGCTTTCGACTAGCCGTCTATTTGAAATCATGGTGCTGCAACTGCAGAGTAAAAGGGACTAGGTGCAAATCCTGAAGGACAAGAGATGGGTTTATTCCTTAAAATTTGCTAGTACAGTCTCAGATATCACGAAAAAGCATTTGATGCCTTATCAACGTCATGCCAAGCATTTCCCAAAGCACCCTGTGTTGCCTTGTAATCGTTTAGGTCAGACCCATTGTTAACACCCAGCATGGCCTGATATGTGTTGGGGCCCATAGTCCAAAGGAGACCCACTGGGGCTGATGCCATCAATCATTTAACTCTTATTTGAATCAGCTATTATTTGGATTAGCTATTTCACCTCGACACTCGGAGAAACGCTGAATGAAGCCACCTGCAGCTGCCACCACCATCTCAATTACTGCCAAATACCTCTGGATCAGGCACTGAGGGGCGATAAAGATGGTGGGTGCTGCTTGCACCCACTTCCCTTGGACCCTGGAGTGAACACCCCTGCCAGCTTCTGGAAGTGCCCTGGTAAGATTATGAAGGGGCAGGCTGCAGGCAGGGATGGGCGGTATTGCTTAGAAGGCTACTGCAGAAAAAGCAACCACCACTGCCTTAACTTCTCAGAAAAAGCCCACTAGGGTTGCACTATGCAGAACACATATTTAACATATTCCTTCTATATCTGTATTTAAAATTAATAAGAAATATTTTACACATTTCTTTAAGTTGCATTGTACGTAGCAATGGCTCTCTTACTGTTCTTTTTATCTGGCTGATATTTTAATACACCAACAATTCACCAATAAGAATGGCTTAACAGAAAAAAAACCAAATCATTGAAATGGCTGCAGTGCTTTTGAGGAGTTGGGGGTGCCACACTGTGCTTTCCTGCTTCTTTGATGAAATTATTAGCCCATCAGGGAGTCCATGAAGTACAATGATATCTGAAAGTTTCATCTGACCTGTGCATGTGCACCAAGATTATTTTCTTATTTAAAAAAAGACAAATTCAATACAAATCCGATTTAGCAAGGAGATCCAAAATTCAAAATAAAATTAAAAGTTTATTTTATCATGCACTTTGTTACATTAATAGCAAGCTACAGTTGTAAGCTCATGTTAGAGCAAATTGGATCATCCATTATTTAATTTTGTTGTGTGTGTTTTTTTTATAAAAAAACAGAGTAAATTTTGTATTGGATTACTTTCCAAGAAAATCAATAAATCACTTGTGCATGCAAACTGAGCTGCAGACTTAAGAAAGCTGCATTTACTTAATGATTGCCGCTTGCCTTTAATTATTGTTGTGAAGAATGCTTCTGGTTTTACTTGAAAGAGCAAAATGAAGATGAAAGTGTCCTCTGTGCGCCACTCATTTGTGTATTAACAGCAGCATGGCATCTCCCGCAATACATATCAATCAACTGCTTGTTCCTTTGGGGCATCCATATATACGGCTCCGTCAACGAGGGCTTCAGGGCAGTTTACAAATTTAAAGGGATAAAATACAGCTGAAAGTCAGCAATTCAGAAATACAAAGAAAACAAGAAAACAAGGCATCTCTGCTCCCTTTCAAAAGTGACAGCAAGTTGGATCCTCCTAACAGAGGGTCCATGTTGTGATCAGACCTGGAACTCTTCTCCAACCGGCTTGTGGGCGGGGCTTGCCCCACTCCAAGCCGGTGGTGTCACAGTTATGCCAATGGCCTTTAGCCAATCAGCAGTGTGGCAAGGTTGATTGGCAGCGCAACATAGGGACCTCCTTTTGCTTCGCGCTGCCAAACACTCGCCTGCCCACCCGTTAATTAGGTCGTGTTTGGCCTTGCTTTGGACTTCGGTTGGACGCCTGTTTTGGAATGGGGGCTGGGTAGGAATTTTGTCCAATCTGGCAGATTGGCTGTGGCCACTTGGTTTTTGCCTACCTCTTAGCAATCGTCACAACTTTGTAAGGTTTGGTGGTTAGGCATTGGTTTAGGGAAATGTGGGGAGGGGAGGTGTGGCCATCACCTGCCCCTCCAATGAATAGGGTATTCCTTTAAAGGAATCTGGGGGTCTGGATCTCGTCTGAAGCCCAGAGGGGGGCTAGGGCTATGCCAGGACCCCCGAGAACCCCAGGGGTGAGCATCAGTCAATATACTTTGATGGAGCTTCCCCTGCTGGTAGTTTACCCTTTCATGCTTCCTGCAAGGTGGGGCAGGAGCCAGTTATAGTTTTGATACCAATGCCTAAGTCAATACCAGTCACACTTGTGTATTTAATAAAGTTGTGGCCAAAATTTGCCCATTAACATTTAAACTAAATTCTGTCTCCACTGTGTCTTTATTTCTTTGGGGGATGGGTTTTGGGGTTCGGAGCACAAAGCTGACTAACCAACATTTGACATTAAAAGAAGCCCTAGGTGTTCTTGAGAAAGGAAAACAGTGACCTGGTTTGCATATCATGGTAAGCCAAATTGTGGCTTACTAGATTAGTAAATTTGCTGCCTCCAAGCTTTGCCCGTTCCTGGTCCTTTTAGCTTGGTGCGGTGCGGTGCGGTAGCTGAGCCAACATTTGAACCCGTCTGAACCTGAGCATGTGCTTAAACTTAATCACAATTGCAGGTTGGTTTAGCGGCTGCACTGCGCTGAACTAAAAGAATCAAAAAGGATCAAAACTGGTGGAAGCTCCTTCCTATGAGCCTGCACATTATTTGTTGCTAAGACATGGTTTGGTTTGGCATTGCCTTCTAAATACAACATGATATCACTTCAAGAGATCAAAAATAAAAGTAGAAGGATTCAAGGACATTCTCATTAACAGAACAGATAAAACAAGCCTTTAAATCTCTCCCCAATTCTCTTCCTTTTTCCCCCACTGCAGTTTCAAGCTTACACGTTTGCTTAGGTTTTGAGAGAAAAAGTCATCTTCAAACTTTATAAAATATTTATTAGCAAGCGTTTGGAATAAAGAAACCTGGGTAAAATAATACAAATTGGGTTAAAATTGTCAATCTACACACACAAAAATATGTGGTTCCTGGAGGTCTACCACCAATTTTCAAACTCACAAAGTACAGACGTTTCTAGAAAGCATGTTCAGAACTATTCCTCACTTAGGGTGATTTGAAAAGAAGAAGAATTTATGCCTTTTAAAATGGCATGAATCATGGATTAACAATGAAATAAAAACTATCACTCATTTTTCTTTTCATACAATCACAGAAAGAAGAACCACAAAGTTATGCAAAAGAATCATCAGCCAGAAAAGGTTCAATATCAAAGCATTTTTCCTGCAGAGAACTTTTTTATGCTCTTCGTAAGTAGGAGTAGCATTAGGCACTTTGGGTATCATATCCCTCTATTCAGAGTAAAGTTCATTTCCATTTGCAGTGTCAATGTCATAGAAACAATGATGGGGGGGGGGAATGAAAGCCATTGATGCTACAAAAGGGTAAATTAAGAATCAAAATAATGCTCTCTGGTGAAATAAAATGCAGTTAGGAGGAGAACCTTGAACTTAGCAGTAGTATTTGCACCATTCTCCATATTAGGATGAGGCTTGTTATGCTGCTTTCTCTAAATAAGTAATGCTTTTCCTAAAGTTGCAAGAAAAACATTAAAATATTATCCTACTTAATGTGGCTTACTCTTAAGATAAAAATTATGAACAGGATTGCAGCTTAAAGGAGGGACACAAAAAGATAAATGCAGATTAATTTATGAGAATAGCAGGACACTTTTAAAATATAATTATTTTGCATTATTTTTCCAAATTATTACAAATCAAACCAAATTAATTTAATACAATTTCTTAAAATCAGGTTTCCCACTCCTGTTGCAAACATATGTCATTTCCTCCCGTAGCTGCATCATTTCTTATCTAGTGTCCAGTTGTCATCCTTTACTTGCCGTTAAACCATTCTTCCAGCTGACTGTTTTTTCCTCCTTACAAACAGTGCCTCTTTTACATCTTATAAATATAAAATTTAGTTCATGTGTGTAGTCCTTCATATACATTTTTGTTCCAGAGCAGGTGTGCTTAGAGAGTTCATTACTATCTTCCATCGTTCACTTGTTTGCGGTGTTTATCTGGATGGTCCAGGATCACATTCCATTCCTTCCACTGTTTACAGCAGGCATCCCCAAACTCGGCCCTCCAGATGTTTTGGGACTACAATTCCCATCATCCCTGGCCACTGGTCCTGTTAGCTAGGAGTGATGGGAGTTGTAGTCCAAGAACATCTGGAGGGCCAAGTTTGGGGATCCCTGGTTTACAGACTAGCATACAACCTGCAGCCATAAATAACTCACAGGGTGCACTTCCAGGCTTCCACTATTAAATTCCCCTCCACAGTTCTTTCTCGGCACACAGTTAAGAGCAAGATCTTTTCTCAATTCAGCCTCTTTTCCACATCTGTTCAGCTGCAGTTCATTCTCCCCCCCCCCCCCCGCTCACTGCATTCCTCTGACAACACCCCAGTCCAGAAATGGTCATAGATAAAATCCATTCAGCCTTGATCGAGGGCAGGCATAGCAAAACCTTATTAAATTTCTTATTGAGCATAAATCAAAAGCCTCTCCCCTCTTTTTCAAAGTGTCAGACAGAGTAACAAATCAACAGCCACACACATCTCTTTCATTGTGCAGGGGAGGACAACAGAAAACAAACCATAAGGAAGCACAAAGCTCCTTGTCATCCCCCTTCCTTTCCTGGCTGTTGTAAGAATTCTCAAGCTTCAGATAAAAACATTCAAATATCTTCAGAAAGCCAAGCCCAGTACTTTCGGCAGCTGATTGATTGCAGCCCATAAGCATATGTTGGTCCAGGAGTGCCTCTTGATTAAAGCCAACTGTACAGATTAAGAAGGAACCATCCACAAATCATGCCGGTAACAAAGGCTCGTCCATGGCAAGGGCACACTCCTGGTTTGCACCCACTCTGCCTTTCAAGTCGGCAGACGTGGGGTTGCGCAGCACTGTGTGATGCAGTGAACTCCCCAGACCACACTGAGGAGTATCACGATGATTTATGCCTCATAAATTCTCCCTTTCCCCACCTGAATTTCCCTGCAGCCCACAGAGCGCTGTGAAGAACAGCCGCCATTGACTCGTGACGTAGCCGGAAACCTAGCAGGACAGTCTTGAGACACTAATGTGTTAGTGCGAGTTAACCAGCAGGGGCACCAATTTACATCAGGGTGGAGAAGATTTGCAGCATGGTTAAAAGGACTACCCTTGATAGGTTCAATATTAAATTGGAAAATAAACATGCTTTTAAAAAGCATGTGTTGTGGATGTTTTTGTGCCTAATAATAATAAGAGAGAAAAAATACTTCTCAGGAGTGACATATGGTCCAAAACACGGTGGGGTCAGAAACTGTGCCCCACCCCACCATTGTGCCCCATTAACATGGCAAGATTGTTTTGAAGAACAGCCTCAAAAAAATCATCCAGCATTGTCAAAACTGTTGCTCTCAGCACAAGCAAGTAGCCGCCTAGTTTTTTGCCCTAATGAAAGAACTCAAATTAACACCAGAGATTTTCAACACATGTGTTTATTATTCAGGGCTGAGTCAGTGTGTTCCACCACCCAAAAAACTCATGTGGCGAACCCATTGATGGGGAGTAGCATCTGAATGCCTTTGCGTATGAAGGCCCTGAGAGGCCAAAAGGCCCTGCAGGCTAGGAAAATGATCTGGCCTGCGATAGGCTGGTTTACCAGGGAGGCCCAGGGCCCACCAACAAAACCACCAACCAGATAAGGGGGCGAAGGGACTTCTCCCTTGAAACAGTTCAGTAGCTCATATATAACATTGACATGCCGGAACCAAGGTGGCTTGGATTATTAGACAAGGCAGGATATATATTTCTTTAAAATAAATGTATACAGTTGTAATTCTAATGGGTTGATAAATACTTTTTAGATGCATTGTAATGCTAGGATGTTAGGATAAGCAGTCAAGCTAGAGCTCTTCAAATGAACATTATTCTGTTTTGCAAGTATGAAATGAAACAATATCTGCTTAGTTGCCCAAGAAAGTAGCTAATTAGGAAGCTAAACCTGAGCAGCTAATAGTTAGAATCTAAAGTCTGGAATGGTCTGCTTGAAAGGTCTTTGATTCTCAGCTGTTTTCTGTGTTTTGCTTTCATCTGTCAGTGGAAGGGCAGCTCTTGGGTAGTTAAATTTATCTGGCATTGTTTAGGAAACAACACCGAGTGAAGCACTGGCCAGAACAAAGACTACATTGGTGTTCATGTGTAACATTCAGCAAGTACACAAAAAGTTGAGCTGTACATGTAATGTCCAATGGGTGTCCAGGCTGTGTACCTGTGTACACAATCAATGAGCTGTCCAAATCAATACATATGTGCACATGCATAGAGACAATTTTTAACTGTGCTCAGAGTAACATGTGGAGAAGCCTAAAGTCAGAACAAACAACTTTTAAAAGTTGGAAGTAGGGATAACATGAGTGATCTATAATGGGAGTGTTGCTCAGTATGCTTCACTACACAAAGGTAGATTTAGAAGTAAGAGGATTTCACTTTTTGGACCAGGAAAAGTTCAAAACTCCAACATTCTTCCATTCAAACCAATCAATTCAGCAGGACCCACAAGAATTAGGCTAATATGCATACTGACACTATCAACCAGATTGCTCTATGATCATGGCTCACGAAAAAGCAAAAGAAGTTCAGACCATATTTTCAAATTGGGAAACATGGCTAGCACCCATGCACATGTAAATAAGCATTCACAGACCACAGAATCAATGGGGGAAATTAGATCTCAACAATGAACTTGGGAGGGAAAGGGAATGAGCATCCATAAGAATGGCCCCTGATTTGCAAACCATGGTTTTCAGGGACCTAGCATTTCATCTGCACCAAACCATATCAGTATAGAACCAACTTCTTCTTTTTTTAGTAAAGTCAACACAAACTTTCTGCTTAACTTTTTCAAGATGAATTACTAAAGATTGCCTCAAGACAGGTTGATCATCTGTAACCTTTGCTCACAAAAATGACTTATATTTAAAAAAGAATTTTGGGGGATCAATAGAGCTGCGTTACTCTGTCATTTTGAAGAGTGCTGAACATTTTGAGAAGCAATTTCCTTAAAGCAACTCATTGAAAAAAGACTACAATTCAGAGATGGATATCTATGCCCAGTTTAATGCTTTTATGTCTCAGATGATTTAAAAGTTAACAGATGCACTTATGCTTATCCTCTGCTAAGGGATAATTTCACTCTTGACATGTAGAAATTAGATCTGTCTGGTACTCGAACCATCTGTCCACAAAAGGAGAGAAAACTCAATTTTTAGGACCAGCTGTAAGCACCAACAAGAGTAACTGGGATCAGATATAATGAATGAGATATGATTAATCTTGACTTGACCTTGTAGGTGGGGGCAGCCGGGAAACCTCAGGTGTCCCAGTACCTTTAGATGCCATCTGGAAGACAAATGAATGTAAATGATTCCATGTCTACACCTAGCACTTAATAGCAGAAAGTAAAATGTTCCACCACAAAACCTAAATCAGTGCAATATTAGAGGACTTTGTAAATACGCACAACTGAATACACAGATAGATCTGTTGACCTCAGTTTGCTTATGAGTTGCATCTTCCAACGCTTCTGCCATTTCCTCCTTATTTTTCTCTGTTTCCCTCCATCACCTAACCAGACAAGCTGATCCTGAACTCCAATTCTAAGATTAATAAATTGTCTTTGGAGAGCTGCAAATATGAATACTCCATACAAGGTTTTCCTAAACCCTATAATGAGATCAAAGCATGGCAGGAATGAAGACCCTGTGGCTCTCCAAATGCTGTTGGTCTCCAACTCTCTCATCAACCCCAACCAGCATATCTAGTTTCTAGGGATTATGAGAGTTAGAGTCCAGCATCATCTGGAGAGCATTAGGTTCTCCATTCATGGTCTGCAGAAAGAGGGTGGACTGTGCTCAGCAGGAGGGAGAAGGAGTAGGTACGCTCCTCTCACAATGAAAATATTGCAGGCAAGACATTCACCACATCTATGGAGTAGCCAGTCAACAACTAATGAAGCAGCCCTCACCCTGTAAATATACCTCTTAGGGGCATGCGTTTAAACTGATGCACAGAAGGTTTGAAACAAAATATGTCTTGAACATTTGATAAAATTATTAATAAATTGAAGAAACACCTGCGAGCTTCTACCAGAAACACCTGCGAGCTTCTAAGATTTGACCACTATGAGACAAGATGCCGGTGAACTGTCCTATTTACGTTATCATTAAGGCAACTTCATATTAACTATGTTTCTAGAAGTCAACACAAGCATTAGTACAGAGTTCTCAAAAGTCATCTTTTAACATAAAACATCTGCTTTGCTTACCTAGATGAAGTTATCAAAGGGAAAATAAGGGGAGAACTAGAAAAGCCTCCCGGGCTTCTTTGATACACAGATGTTTTGATCACTTCCAAGGGTTGGGTGTGTGTGTGTGTGTGTGTGTGTGTGTGTGTGTTGCCCAACTGCAGAAAACCTTTGCACAGTACTATGCACCACTTAATCACCACAGACTGCCTGTATGAATTTGGATGCTGATCATCAAAGCAGCAGATTGTGTCTGATTGCATATTGGCAGAGGTACACCTTTGGTGATGAAGGCATTCAAAACTGCAAAAACACTCTGGATTAGACAGATAGGAAAAAAATGGGAGATGAAGGGTAAACAGGAGACCAAGCAATTTCCTGCCTTAAAACAAATGTGACCACCTATTTAAGAATTTAATTTTCACAGAACTGAACACTGTTTCAGCAACAGTGAGAGCTGCCGATACCAAAGCACTTATTAATGTTATATCCCTACATTTCTCAAAAAAAAAAAAAACCACCAACCCCACAAAATGTTTTAGTAAGCTGGTTTACAAACTATGCAAAACAACAATACACTTTTACAGCAGCTACTACTATGCTATAAGATCCACTGTCCTGTGATATCATGTATGAGTTTGTACTACTGATGAAGCCTAGGACAGCGAAACAAGGCTAGTATTCCAGAAATCCTTGTCTTAGACTCTGTGAAAGGATTCGGTGGAACTGCAACAACCTTTCGTGTGGATTGTTGGACTCTATGAACAGGCAGGTGGAATAGACACTGTCACATATATGGACCTTATGCATAAACTGATTAGAGAATGAAAGCTTTTCATGAGTCTTATCTTCATGGCTTGGTCTGCCTTTCTGCAGACACATCTCAAGCCATGACCGTATCCATGCACTGAATCCATCTAGAGCCTTCTTGCTCTCTGCTCCCTTGAACTCGCCACATAGGGTCTTTGGTCAAACCACTTTGGTTTTAACTGCTAGGATCATCGCCTGCTGTTTTCCTCGTCCACTAAGTCTCCACGACCAGTACCTGCATTTTAAAGCTTTTCCTTTGAGGAGAGGAAGAACTCCAAATTAATACGCAATGTTGATGTCATCCCCTGTATTTCCTGTAACTCTTGGACAGGGCTAGATTACTAAATAGGCACCCACACATTTTAGGCGCCCCACAACAATGGATCAAAGTAATACTGATTTGATCTTGAACAAAAATTACAGTCACGCTTTCTTAGTTCAATGTTATCCCGTAAGAGTGCACACACAAGGGTGTCCCCAAAATTTCAACTGTCTAGGGGCCTCCACAGGGTTGAATCCAGCACTGTTCTTGAAATACTAGTGTGTGCGCGTAAATATGGAATAGAACAACCAGCACTACCATCACCAGGAACTGCAACTGAACAAGATTTCCCAATGTATGTTTACAATCATGATTGTTACTGTTTTTGTCTATCTGGGTATCTCCTAGGTTGTCAAGTTTATGTCAGTAAGTGCTAAGTAAGCAATCAATCATTATAACAGCTTTGCTTACCCAGGGAGTCAATTAGTTCCTCCGATATCTTGCACTATCTTCAAGAGAGCTGTTGCCAGTCAGTATATAATAGACAATACTGAATGAGATGGACCATGAATAAAAAGGCCACCTCAGAGCATTATGTAAGCACAGTTTACATGGGAAAGGAACTGGTATCCCACCAGCTCATTTTTTTATTTAAAATATATATACAGTACCCCACTTTTACCACACCTGGGTCTTGTTCTGCTCCCTCCAGCATGTCTGCGCCTAGAATGTCCATGAGTTGAACATCATGCTCATTTTCTTGTTACAGTACATTTATCGCACACCCTTCTTCAGTCATGGAACTCAAGGCAATGGACATGAGGTTCCCAAGCCATCTCTCATTCAGCCATTGACCAGATACGGCTCAGCTTTAGCAAAATGGATGCATAGTGTGCTCTCAGGTTAACACACACAGAACACAATCCATGTAGGGCCTAGCTGAGCAATCTGTGCAGTTGGTTATACACAAAGATGAAGACCTCAAAATATGACATGAGGGAGGTGGGTCATTGTGATCCCAACATATGTGTGAGACAGATCCGTATCTCAGTGTGCCGAGCTGTCCAGACCAGAAAACCACTTCATCCCTGAAAGCAGACTGGAAATCTAATATCAGCTTGGCAGTACTTCAATTTACTAGGATAATAATCAGCTAACAGCTGAATTAGAAGCCAAATAGAGCAATAAATGATAATTACAAGCATCTTATATGATAGCAGTTTTACTAATAGGAAACAGTATGTACAATTAGTCAAATTCATAATCTCAAAACCCCAGAGGTTGTATATGCCTTTTCCCATACTTGTGTTGAGACATATTGGGATGACAATAGTGTAATCAGAGTAAGCAGGTGTGCAAGGATCTCAGCCAAGTCCCTATTACAGCTCAAGTTGCTCATTTGTCTTTCTGTGCAAGCACAGAGACAAGCAAATCCATTTTCATTTTATTATTCCTTTTCCCGATTTCCTGTTTAATACAATGACAGGAATAGTGAACTGTTTTTCAGGGTAAGGGCCACATTCCCTCCAGGGCAGTTTTCTGGGGGCCACATGGCAGGCAGAGCAATAAATTAGAATGTTGTCTTTGTATAGGAGGCTAGTTCCTTCATGGACCCACTCATACCCATTTACCTTCCATGCAAACAGGCAAGAAATATTGTAATCGGAGTCCAAAGACACATTCCAGCTGGGCAAAAAACACTTGAGGACGGTGCAAGGCAGGGCTGGCAAGGGCAGTGTCCTGGATGGGGTGTGGTCTGGAGAGAGAGTCCGCAGGCATGTGCCTCCAGCCTGGCCTGAGCGTCACCATCCCTCTACTAAGACTACATGAGTGGGAGAATCTATGAGTTAAAACTACTACTGTTTGGCCCAGGAGTGAAAAGGTAGGTGGTGGTCAGTAAAAGAAAGGGGATGCCAGCAATAATAGCTTTGCTCCCGATGGGGAAGAGGAAAGGATACTATGAAACGTGTGTGAAAGAGAAAGAGGGTGTGTGTGTGTGTGTGATGTACCAGGAATGTTTATGGGCCCAGTCTCCATGCAGTCACTAGAAAAGGCTGAATGGAGGTGGGCTCTCTTTCCACAACTGACAGCCTATTTGAATACAATTGTACCTATGAATACATCATCTCCTTCTTGAATGCATGGAGGGTTCAGTGAGCCCAGCCAGCAGGATGCTATCACTCCCTCTATCCCAAAAACAGAGGTGGGGGAGATCCAAAGTGTTAAAATAAAAGAAGACCAGATAACAGAGGAACAGACGGCAACGGGTATCTATCTAACATTATTAAATCAAACTAACAAAGGAAGCCCTTGGAAAACACAAAGTTGCTCCAGCAGTTTTGCTACAGAGAATTCTTCATCAAAGAAGCTTGGTACAAATTCATATCTCAGTGCAGGCACCATCAAACGTAGATATCTGAATCCTTTTAATTTTAACCACCCTTCCTTTGATAATTCCATTGTCTCAAATTAGGATGGCCTCAGGCTTAATAGCATTCATCCTTAATTCCTATCTACCATTGATTAAAGCTATATTTAAGAGAATTACTTGGCCTTCTATAAAATCATTACTTTTGTTTTTCTCGTAAAATATCGGTCGGATTATCATGTTCCAGAAATGTTAAAGACCTTTCTCTGAAAGCTGCTTCGTCAATAGCATGGATCGAATGGGATAAATCTATGTGCCAATATTTGCTTTATTTACTAATAGTGGCTAAATGATCCAAGGGTTGGAGAGGGAGGGGGGAAAGGTCAAGCTAGCAACCTCTAGGGAAGTTTCATTTGCAAAAGAAACGTACAATTTCTCAAATACTCTTTGAATTGTTCTTCAAGAAATGGAAGCTGGTGTTCTGCCGGCTGCATTCATATCAGTGAAAAAGGAAGGGAATGAAGAATATGGAGGTCTAAGATGCCTTGCTCATAAGGAGGTAAACCAAGGTGAGAAATATGTCAACACATTCACGGGGGAATGTGAAGTGAGACAAATCATCTGATTTACTCCAGCAAACGATGGCGGCACAGCAGCCAAACTTTTGAGGACCAATAAAGGAGGACCCGCCACAGTGTCACAAATGCACATTTGAATTGCGTGTTTTTCTTCCCACTGGTATTTATGATAATTTTAAATTTGCAATGTGATTACATGCACGGGGCCACAGGGCTAGTAGCTTATTAGATCTAGCAGTGTGGGCTGACTGGTTGGGGCCAGAGCATGGTTAACCCCCTCTGCCATGCACCAGGTTGCTCTTAAAAACTGCCTGTGGCACCCTGGTTTGTATGTGCTCTGGGGCAGGTCGAGGCTGAAAGGAACAGGTCTTATGGGTCAGGGCCGCAGCTCAGTTGGCAGGCGGAAAATCCTGGCCTAACTGCACTGGCTGCCAATTAGTTTCTGGGCACAATTCAAAGTGCTGGTGTTGTAAAGCCTTACATGGCTCAGGACCGCAATACAGTGGTACCTCGGGTTACATACGCTTCAGGTTACAGACTCCGCTAACCCAGAAATAGTACCTCGGGTTAAGAACGTTGCTTCAGGATGAGAACAGAAATCGAGCGGTGGCAGCGCAGCAGCAGCGGGAGGCCCCATTAGCTAAAGTGGTTAAGAATAGTTTCAGGTTAAGAACGGACCTCTGGAACGAATTAAGTACTTAACCCGAGGTACCACTGTACTGCAAGGACCTATACGAACCAACCCGGACCCTGGGATCATCATCTGAGGCCCTTCTTCGTGTGCCCCCTGCAGGAGAGGTCCAGAGGTTGGCAACACAAGAGTGGGGCTTTTCTGCGGTGGCTTCTCTGCCCAGAGAGGCTCGCCTGGCAACACCATTACATGTCTTCAGGCAACAGACGAAAACATTCCTCTTTACCCAGGCCTTTAGCCATGAAACAATCTATGGCCTGTTAAATGTGAGAGGGGGACTGTTATTATGATATTTTTTTAATCAATATGCTATGTGTTATGGGAGCCAGTGTGGTGTAGTTGTTAAGAGCGATGGACTCGTAATCTGGTGAACTGGGTTTGATTCCCCGCTCCTTCACATGCAGCTGCTGGGTGACCTTGGGCTAGTCACACTTCTTTGAAGTCTCTCAGCCCCACTCACCTCACAGTGTTTGTTGTGAGGGAGGAAAGGAAAGGAGATTGTTAGCTGCTTTGAGACTCCTTAGGGTAGTGATAAAGTGGGATATCAAATCCAAACCCTTCTTCTCTTCTTTGTTATTATGCCGAGTAAATTATGTTCTTGCTGTTGTACACTGCCCCGGGATCTTTGGATAAAGGGAGGTTTATAAATGGAATTGATGATGATGATGATGATGATAAATACTTCATTGTGTGAGGGGATGATCCCTGCTGCCTTGAAAGAGGCAGTAGCATGGCGGTTCCTACAGAAATCAGCCCTGGTCCCCTTAGACTGGAACAACTATCAACCAGTTGCAAGCACCATTGGATGACAAATATTTAGATTCATTCCAATCTGGGTTCAGTCCTGGACATTGGGCTGAGCTGGTGTTGGTTGCCTTGATGGATGACCTTTGAAGACAGTAGGACAAGTGGGGGCGGGGTGACCTTGCTCCTGCTTCTTGCTGCTTTTTTCATGTTTTAAATAATGTGCAACTGTTTTAGTAATGATTTAATTGTTTTATTTTCTTTGTAAACTGCTTTGAGATTATTATTTTTACAATCAAGTGGTGTATACATTTTATGAAATAAAGAAATAGGTAAATAATTCTAGGGTTACTGCACTGAAGGCTGTCTTCTGAGTAATGAATGAAGCTTGGTTTATGGTATGGGCAGCCCCCGCCCTACGGACAAAAGGGAAAGTCTCTTCACCATGAATTTGGGTGGGAGGCATAAAATCAGCTTCAGATCTATGATTCCTGATCCCATGTTCCTAGTTATATTTGACTGCCATTTTTCTTCAGAAGCAAGCACAGAAAGCATTGTGAAGAGGATTCACATTTCCAGACTATTCAAACGCAGGACACCCAGTTTTTTAAACCATTTGTGATATTTTTCTGTCTCTCTCTCTCTTTTTATCCTCACACATCTTACATCTCCTGGTCCTCATCCCTTTGTACAATTCCTGTTTTATTTTATTTTTGGTGTGGTTTTTCATTGTCTCCTCCTCGCACCATTTACTTTCTGCTACATCCACAGATCTATTTGATCTTCCAAGGGTGCTTCCGAGAGGTGATACCTTTTGTAGATAACTTTTTTTTTAACTTAGCCTTTTTATCATTGCCCTAGAAGTTTTAATGATCAAATGTATAGATAGGCATTGGATTTGCGCAGATTTTGACCTCCCCACCCCCCTGTACACACCAATATCTGTGCAAGTATTCCTAAATGATAATAATATTGTAGACTAAACTGAGCTCATGAAGCCTGGGGCAATTTAGCTGAAAGTCAGCACAGGTTATTTTGTACTCATTAGAAGTCTAGGAGTTGTTGTTCGAAATAAGAATCACCCCAAGTCGGAGAGAAGACTTTCATTATATTGCCTCCTCTATAGGTTATAATTTTCTGTTTATTTTTCTGTTGCACCCTGTAACTCTTTCCACCTTACCTCAGCCTTAGGACAAGGATAGCCAAACTATTGTTGTCTATGCTCTGGAAACCTCAATATTAGAGGTAAAGGAGCTCTTGTATTTACATTATACAGTGGTACCTCAGGTTAAGAACTTAATTTGTTCTGGAGGTCCGTTCTTAACCTGAAACTGTTCTTAACCTGAAGCACCACTTTAGCTAATGGGGCCTCTCGCTGCCACCGTGCGATTTCTGTTCTCATCCTGAAGCAAAGTTCTTAACCCGAGGTACTATTTCTGGGTTAGTGGAGTCCGTAACCTGAAGCGTCTGTAACCTGAAGCACCTGTAACTCGAGGTACCACTGTAGAGCATTTACTGCATACCAAGATGCACCAACATGTGGGAAGAATGATGGTCCACTGCCTTTTATGTCTTTGGTACAGGGCTGGCACACCCATGAGGCAAGGTGGGCGGCTGCCTCAGGTGGCAGGAATCACAGGGACCATATGGAACTTGCCGAACTGACTGGGAGACTCCGAGACCAGAGAGAAGGGACGGTGGAAGAAGATTGTTAGAAGTTTAAAGAATATTTGAAAAAATATGTTAATATTTAAATCTTAGAATAGCTTTGGAAGTGTGGATATAGGCTGTAGGGTTAGAAGTAGAAGATAGCGTATTTTAAAGTGTGATTTAAAAAATGGTTAAAATTATGATATATGTAAACTGCTAAAGATGAGGTAAAATGAAAATCAGATAGGGGGGAATTGGGGAAGCTCACCTAACAATGTTTTGAAAAAAATAAGAATTTGTTTGTATTGTTTCTTTTTCTGTTTGTGTTGTTTATTTGTGTTATAAAATGAATTTAAAAAATTGGGAAATAAAAGAAAAAAGGAATCACAGGGCAGCAGATCTGGCCTCCAAGGAATGCATTGCCAGCTGCTGCTAATGCTAATGCTACTGCTGTGACAACAGCTTCAGTATGCTCCTTGAGACCACATCTGCCATCTCCTCAGCAGTCCCCCACCTCTCAGTGAATAGGGGGTGATACATGTCTCCTCCCACTCTTGTTCCTGAGGCAGATCTTTATCCCCCCCCCCCTTTTTCCTGATCTTCATTCACCCCTTCTTGCCCGGCCAGTGAGGGGAAATCATTTTGTGCTTCGTCTCAGGTGCCCAAAAGTCTTGGGCCGGCCCTGCTTAGGTATAAGCACCAGGAAGCTGCCCATAAGGCTGCCTTTGTTTGAAACAGTCCTCGGTGAGAAGGAAGAATGCCATAGACAAGCCCAAGGTTTTAATTTGCCATTTAAAGGAAAACAAGAGAACTGTAATTTTCAATAGAAGGAAGAGCAGCAGTTCCTGTTTTAGATTCAACTCATTTAAAAGGCTAATGTGCTGGCAGATCCAGTAAGGAAGAAAAAAGTAGACTGTAACAAAAAGGCATATTTCTATTGTGCTTATTCTTTCACTTCTAAACCTTTAATACCCAGTTGACAATAGCGCATCTTGCAAGTTAAAATTATGAAATGTGTTCTGCTTGCTATATTGTGAGAAAGCGCCATGATCATATCACTTCATTATCAATTCACACCCGCGATTAGCATGCTGATTTTATTATTGTCCTTCACTACTGAGAATAGAAGAATCCTGTATAATTGCTATCTCTCAGGCAGCTAACCACTGCAGATTTCCTAAAGCCTGTGGCATTTTATTGTATAGGTAGGCCAAAATACAACAGAAGCTTCAACATGCATGAACTCAGCTTCACTGGATTGTGGTCATAATGTGCGGGAGTTTTTAACCTATGGATGTTAATTATATATTATGAACTGCACTGTAAAAGCATAGGTGAACTGAAAAACTCCAAACCAAAATCCCCACACATAATAAACTGAAACTGGAAGGGACCAAAAAGACAGCAAGTTCAAACCTGTGCAGGATGGTGGGTCTCACCCAGTCACCAGTCTACCATAGCTGGATGTATGTAATTCAAACTATACTGTGCCACAAGGCAGCCCACCTCCTAGATGAGTACGGTTGGTAGCTATGAGGGGGTCCCATGGCTCTGAAATTATTTTCCATTATGTCAAATTACTGCATATGCAGGCATTTCAGAAGGCCCAGATTCCCCTCCCCCAGTTGACCTTCCATATGTGATATTTATGATGGTCTAACGGAATTATGTTCTCTCCAGCTTTATAAAATGTGTGTTGTGTTTTTGAGTTATGCAATAGTTTCAAGTTTTCACATTTTGTATTATTGCTCTTATTATATATATTTATATATAAATTATATTATATATATTAACTCAAGGATATGAAGGCAGCCAAACCTCAGTCACAAACTTCAGGAAATATTGCTACATCACCCAAATTCATGTCTGTATTCTGCTGTTCCACCAAGGGACACAAGACAGTTCAAACCATCCTGAACAAGAACATATCAGGGGTGGGGGATATCTCAGGCATTCCAGGACTCTGTTTGGCCCTGAAAGTCTCCCCAGGCCAGACTCCTCACTGGCTCAGTTCTGTATCCCAGCAACTTTTGCCTGACTGGAATGTGTCATGGAACTCTGATGGTGCTTCTCACTTGTCTGGATGGAAGATGGGGTGATGTGATTCGGTGTAGAAACCAGCCCACTGCACAAAGGCACATTTAATGTTTGTTGTTCATCTGCTTTGGCCCTGCCTCATGCACCATTGGCATGTGACCCCTGGAAGGCTGAGACAAAGGGAATGTGGCTCTCTGAATGAAAAAGCTTCCCCACTGCTTCCCCCGCCCTTAAGGTCTGCTTTGCGTCCATTTTCTGCCTGAAGCATGGAAGGTGGGCACAACAAACGGGGCCTTTTCTATGGCTGTGCTGAGACAATGGAGCACAAATAAATCTGCTCCACCTCACTGGGCCGCAGTATGCACCAAACACATAGCCATCAGTTTCACACCCATGCACATAATGTCACATTATGACTGAGGACACATTGATTAGTTTTCCCACACAAACTTGAAATAAATACATTATTGCTTCCACAACAAGCTCAATTAAAGTTTTTCCAGCAGATTGCCACTCTCAGTTCCTTGGCTCCCATTTTGGTCTTTCACTTGAACTGCTGCATTTTCCTCCTAATACAACTCAGGATTGGGAGAACAACAGTATGTGGACACATAGGTTTTAAATTTGAAGGCAATGTAGAAATAATTAAGAAGCCACCTTGATATAGTTATCTTCAACTGGGTCATGGCCATGAGAAGGATCCTGGCTTACATATCAAAAAAGGTGCTTGTCCTGAACCCCCTGGCCTACCTGGCAGCAAGTCAGCATGTCAAGTCCCCAGTCCAGGATCAATCCACATGTCCAAAATCAAAGCATTGTCCCACAGAGATGCTGGCGTATCCTTGGAAACACCAAGCTGAGGTCCAGCAACATGGGCAGTTGAGCAATCACAGCACCTCAACTCTGCTCCCCTTTTGTACTTTGCCTGCTAATTGCAGCACCTGGGCTTGATGAGGCAGGTGACCTTCACCTGTTCTGAGCCTACTCCAGCTCAGGAATCACGCACCTCCTCCCTGAGCTAGCGAGACCCACCTGGCCAGCTCATAGCTGTCAATGTTTTCCTTTTTTTAAAAGGGAAATCCCCTTATTCCGAATAGGATTCCTCACAAGAAAAGGGAAAAGTTGACAGCTATGGGCCAGCTAGGGAGCTGGGCTGTGGGCCCTTGCCTGCCTCAGCCTCCTAGAGGACACTCCCACTTCTCCCTATGACTCATAGCCTGCCATGATCATGGAGACAGGGGTCCCTCTGGCTCTGGTGATAGGTCCTACTGCTCTGGGTCCTGTGCACTGACCCCCATCCCCTCAATCACAACTTCCTACACCCACCTCTCCTCCCCCATCCCCAGTTTGCACCGGTGTGTCCAAGTCCCAGCTACACCTCTCACTGGGATTCTCTTCCTCCTCCCCATTGTCCTGCCAGTTCATGACAGTGCTTCTTTATCTGATATAACAACTACCACAGTCTACCACAACATCCTGGGGGGAGTATTTGCATTCTGTTCTCCAGAAACTATGGCATGATCGGTGCCAATGGGAAGAGGACAAATCATAAAGCAGCATTTTTATACATTTATAATTTGAGAATTAAGAACTGAAAGTGTCAGGAAGCTGAGGCATTGATCTCCACAGATGCAGTTTTGATTCTATTGAAGTCAGTAGCAAAAGTCCCATTGATTTTAATTAAGCAAGATTGCAGTCCACGTCATCACAGTGATCAAGGACCATTACTTTGATGCTTAACAGCATGCAAACATACATGGTGCATACTAAAAGGTTTGGATTATAAACTCTGGAAGATGTTTTGCAAGATCTATTGATATTAAGACTTACTACATATACTGTTATGCATCTTTCTGGCTACAATCCTGCACATGTTTCCATGATGCCCACTCAATGAGATTTATTTTAATGTAGATATGCACAGGACCATGCTGTAAGAGAACACTTTTTAAGAACATCATTAAATAACAAATATGAATGGAAATAACATGCCCCTGTTTGCTAGTTAAATAAGGAATTACTGTTTAAAGACAGAGCCCAAAAAATGTGTAAGTCTGGGGAATTTAAATTCTAAGAAGCATTAACAATTTTAAATAACAATGCATCCCTGTATTAATAATCTATTCAAATTGTTCGCAATTTTTTACTTTGGATGCAGGTAAAATCTGGATGACAGGAAAGAGAAAATGGACATTTAACTGCATTTTAAGGGAAAGAGCACATTGTTTACACACCAGGAAAGTGTAGTCTAGAACAATCAGTTTTTAACTGAAGCAGAAAACACTATGGATAATTCAGCTTCTTTGTATGTTAGTTTTTGGCAAGAAGCATCTGTAGACATTTCTAGATAAAGAACGTCACAGGTGCTTAGTTCCATGATTTCTTTACGGTTCTAATTAAAGTCATTAATGAAATGTTGGTATTGTCGAGCCTGACACTTCGTCTGAGGCAAAGAACAGGGAGATCATAGTATACAACATCTGGTTCCAATTTCCAGCCAACTGTCTAAACATTTGGAGCAGCTGCAAATATACACACGTTCAGATTTCCTCCCTCACAGTCTATAATTCGGATTGAAATGTAAACTGAAGAGGACAGAAGTGGAAACAGAAAGCCTCCTCTTTCTTGCTGTTCCTTAGGGCTTACAAGGACTACCACTGTACCCAAGCACTGAAGACCTTAGGTTTGCTATTGTGTGTGTGTGTTTGTGTGTGTTATATTCCAGTTTCCTACAAGCATTGATTTGTAAAGGTCCCCAGGAGATCCCCAGAAGCAGGCCAGGGACATTGCTGCTGTGACTAAATTAGCCACACCATACAGCTTCAATAAATGCTTTTTTTGGCAAAATTATTTTATCTATTCAGTTGAAAACACATTCCTATATTGCTGGCGCATACAAAATATTGAGGCAGTACACAATGGTATATATAAATACGGTAAAGCTTGAAATACCATAAAGACAATGCAAAATAACCATTAAAAGTACTGTTTACCTGCATTCAGAGCATCAATCCACGTTTCAGGTAAACAGCAGCTCTGGGCTCACCTTCAATCTGTGCATCTGATTAAGTGGAAGGTGAAGAATTTCCTACTGGCAAGTCCTGCCCTGATTTCTGCACGTCCAGTGAAAGAGCCTATCTGCACAGATCCTCTTCCACAGAATCAGGAACCCAGGTTGCAGCTACAGGCCTACAAACCCATTTCATAACTTCTATTGACTGCAATAAGGCTTGGGGGTGCCATCTCACTCTGCTACCCTTCATGTCCAGTGAACATGTGCTTTGAAGGCGAGAACAGGCTTAGCTCAGCAGCAGCAGCCCCTCACTGTGGGGAGGAATCCTAGAATCCTAGAACTGTAGAGTTGGAAGGGTCCCAAGGGTCATCTAGCCCAACCCTCCTGCAGGAATCTCAGCTAAAGCATCCATGACAGATGGCCATCCACAGCTACCTCAGAAGATGGTAGCATCATATGATCCATCTAACACAGTGGGCTCTAGCCCACAAAACTTTGTGCCACAATATAATGGTTAAGGTTAAATGTGCCACAGAACTATTGGCACATATCATTTAGTTCTCATGAGCTGTATCACCATCAAGTCCCTTCCCCTCTCACTTCCATAGTTTTCAGACTTTCCATGAACTTCTACGCTTTTGGTCCAGACTCTGTACAATATTGTTTTTGAGGATGATGCCCTTTATCCATGGACCTGGATGTAAGCCCTACTGAGCTCAATGGGACGCCTTTCTGAATAGACATCTATAGTGTATGTGTGTGTGTGTATATATATATATATATATATATATATATATATATATATGAAGCAGCTGTAGTAATCTAGGTAAAAGGTAAAGGACCCGTGGATGGTTAAGTCCAGTCAAAGGCGACTATGGGGTTTGTGGCACTCATCTCACTTTCAGACCGAGGGAGCCAGCATTTGTCCACAGACAGCTTTCTGGGTCATGTGTCCAGCATGACTAAACCAATTCTGGCGCAACGGGACACCGTGACGGAAACCAGAGCACACGGAAACGCCGTTT